TTTCTTTCAATTGGATTAAGTGTGTTGTGTTAAATTCGAAACCATTCCAATCCGGTGTTCGTACTTTTTGTGGAAATATCTGTGCTTTGATAGAACTGAATTTATTGATTTTCTGCAATTTCGCTTGTACGATAACATTTCATTTATGACATCTTAATATGTTATAAAAACTATTAAATATGTAATGTAAGTGGAGTAATATGTGTTATTTGGATAGCAAAATGTCTCATTCGATTAAATAAGTTCCTTGTTAAGGTCGAATTACCCATATTCCATTCGTATCCGTTCCGTATCCGTACTGTATAGTGGCGAACATGAATGCCTTCTCTGTTTACACTGGCGGTTCCATATCTACAAGGGAGACATTTCTGTCCTTCGGTGTACAATACTGATACGAATCGGATCGGACGTGTGTAAATCAACCTTAATTCATATTTGGTGCAAAAATTCATATTTGGAGCATTTTAATCAATTACTGAAATTTCTCTGTGCCATATCTTTAAGTTACGAAACAAATCTTTATGAAGAAGTGATTTGTCAAGTATATGTACGGTGAAAACATCAAGACTATAAAACAAATATGATGATAAACGGTAACATCTCAATATCATCGGTCTCATATAATTTTATTATTACAACATGTATTTCAATCAATCTGATACGCAGGTAATCAATACTTAGTTTAATCGTCAGTTATATCACCGGCGTTTGGTTACGACATAGAGGTATAGCTCTGTTATTTAAAAGAAAGGCGAATGCATTCCATAATAAGTTGGAGCGTTGCTCTATTTTGCATAATTTCTAAAAAACCAGCGCCTTAATATTTGTGAAACATTTATGGAATTTGTAGAAGATAGTTACGTCAATACATTTAATTAGTTCTCTAGTATTTAAAAAAAAATGATCATCGATAAAATGAAAAATGGAACTCTCTAATGATTAAAAGAAGAAATAGTAAAATTTAGCAGTATAGGGTGAAATTTTTTCATTATAGGTGCGAAAAAAAAGTTTTATTACATTTCATGGTGTAAAGTAATTTCCCCCGTGAATCGTTCACAAGTTCCCGTTTAACCAGAGCTCCTTGGTTTCAGAGAGCATTTCTCTCGAAATACTCAATCTCTGACCGTCGATTGGTAGAATCGTTTTTTCTTATTACCTTCTTCTCATTCTTTTTTACCTTTCTCTAGCGTTTATTACTTTCGTCGATATCGAAGGAGTTCCGACCCTTACCAGGGTGAGAGATATTTTTCGCCAAATGCAGTCTTATTCCAAAAGATCGGTCGAGTGCGTGACTGATTACTGACGTAATTCCGTAACGTTATTTAAGGGAGCATGGTAAAAAATAGATTATAATCATCGTTTTGAGTTTTGCCTATAAAAGTTACCGTATTGTTAATGCATAAAAAGCCATGAATCTGACACAAAGGGTGTGAAACTATTCTCTCGTGAGGTAACAAAGAAAGAATGAGTTATATATGAGTCAAGTAATCGTTCTGACATCGTCGTAGAATACCGTGTATAGGCAACAAACGTGTTTTAACTACGTAATCGGCGTATGTAGATCATTTGAATATTGTTGCGTAATTGACACCTGTCACCGAAGTGCGCATTGGCAAAGCAACATCGCATTTTGGATACGGCAATGCGGGAAATATTGGTAAATTTCTTGAAGCCGTACTAATCTTGAATTGCAAATTTAATTTATCCGTAGTTCAATAAATTCGGAGACAAAATGGATAAATCAAAGCAGGTCTGGCCACGTTGCTCCTCGCAGAGGTTTTCTGGCGTATTAAATTGGAAATCAGATTCCTTATTTATCCAATACTTTACTTCCGCCTCTGCGATGAATCGCGAGTGAAATGATATATAAGCACGTGCACTGGAGCATGAAGCAACTTGATCGAAGTAATTCGGTAATCAAGGATCGTGAGGACAAAATATCTTGTTAAGATTTAGACAAAAGCTGCACGGATCAGTTTTACCACCAAGTGGATTTAAAATTTAACGAAAATTTCTTTCTTTCTGTTCCTGTATCCCGGAACTCTTTTTACGCAGTATCGATGATCTGCGGGGTTCCTTTAATCTGTCACTGTGCTATTGTAGCGACTGCGCACGTCGTGCTAGTGCTTATAATAATTTTCATCACATTCGGCCGATCTGCAGGGCAGGAGCGTTATGCAAATAGGAAAGCAGCGATGCATACGATATCGGTGTTGCGACGACGCGTGAATCTGCAGTCGTCGCGCTGCAGTCCGTCGCGAAGAGGCTTCGGTCAAAGGACTGAATATGGGATTACCACCACAGGAAACTGGATGAAAAGAGTTTTACTCGGCAGCTGAGCCGCTCGTGCCACGCACGCGAGTGCGCGAATGCGTTTGCCAGCATGCGTGTGCATGCCCGTAGGCGCAGATGCACCTACAGCTATCCTCGCGTTAGCCGGCAAATGCGATTTGCATTAGCTTTGCGCCGTGTTACGTGTGGCTTCTATGAATCGTTTTCGGTATAACGAACCCGTGTCAAGCAAGGTCACCTTAAGCTTAAAGCCTGCTTGATACTCTTCATGTTTCACACCATTGTGCGACCAAATAATAAACACATGACCTTATAATTATTGTGAATTTCAATTAGAGTTAGATCATCCCTGGATTCTTTTTAGATTTAATTTATTCTTCACCGTAAAAAGAAGCGCTGGGGCGCACGGAGGGTAAATTAGTTTTTCCTAATGGTATTTCGAATACGTATATGAACTAAGTTATGATAGTACCATAGTAGCTGTTAAAAGTAAAACATGGTCTTATCAGATAGAAGTCCTGGCGTAACTCGGTGCATTTATTTACATAGTAATTTGTTGAATCAAAATTGATGAAGAAATATCTTGCTTCGGATAGATTCATACGATTATGGATATTATTATCTCTTACAGGACCACTTGAAGCAGATTTGATTTTTCTGGCTTGGGAAGAAAACTTCACGGCACGTGCATCTCTTATGGCGAAGGACGGTCTTTCAATCAATTCCCCGTTTTCCTTGAATTATTCTTCCTCGGTCCCACGGGATCGGAAGGAGTGCCGAGCTCTAGAAAAATTCTAAGAAATATCCATTGACTTGCTGTTACATTTGCAATAAGCACACTTCAGGTATGTGGACTTGAGTTATTTGAAGAAAGGTGGTTAGTACGATGCAAACACGTGGACTACAATAGGTACGTAGAAAAAGCTCGGATAAGGTGAGTCGGATAAGATTGCACATTAACAGTCAGATCTTTTTAAACCTTTATCTATCGTTACAATGGTGTATTCATTTATAAATTAATGTTACGCTTATAGAGCTTGCATCTTGCAAATTAAAAAATTAGTGTCGATTGTATATTAAGAGATTAAGTTCTATAGTGTTCCGAGTCTTCTTTTGATTCTTTTTGTAATCACTTGTTTATTTTACATTATTCTTCTGAGTAGATAAATTATCTAAAATGTTATAAAATTCATTGAATTTGTTCCCCATGATTTTATGGATTTTCGAATTCATCTTAAGACTGACTAGAATCTCGTTCTTCATGCACGTGTTCGAGACTTCCCAATTAATCGTTTGCATTGCCAGAGACATTTAATCGATAGATTTAATAATTGCTTTGACGAGCAACGTGAACTTGACTCCTAATGGTGTATTGCAGTGTCGGTTGAACTGCACCCGAAATACTGCTCAAACGGCGTTGTTAATCACAAGCATTCCCGTTACTGATCGGACTTTGTAATTAAATGAGAACGAGGTCAGCGCAGTTAACCGAATGAACTAAACCATAGATTCATTGTTCACCCGAGAAATATAATTTTCATTTACTGCCTTCTTCTGTACATTAAAAAAATGCCTTACAATGTTATGACTATTAGCAGGATATCTCTTCTATGACGTTAATCTATAAGGTAGACATTCTAATGCATGTTCGTAAATTAGTTGGGTTTTAATAAATAGTCGTCACCGTTGGCATTAAAGTATTCTATATGGTCGTCAAACAAATATTGCCTATTTCGATGTCATGTTTTGAAAAGCTTTTTTACTCTCGAGGGACCCTCGAGGGGCTCCAACAAAATCCGAGGGGTTTCCTTGAGTCTCGTCAAATCTCGTCTATTACCGTTCAGGGTTCCTTCCCTTGGCAGTGAGCCATTTCTTCAAAATGCCTATCAGAATTTCCAGCAACTTGCCGCCCTTCCATAGAAAGCTTTCGAAAACTTTCCGCCCAGGACACCCTCGAGTCCTTATACTTCAAAAGATCAAGAGTAACTTGACACCTTCAACTTGAAATATGTCTGACATTTAATAATGCGAACTGGACAATTGATATTTCGTAGTGATCGTCAGTGAGTGTATTCCTTGTCTCGTGGAAAGCGATAGCCAAGTATCCGTTGGCAATGCACGTAAGAGTGGTTGGAAAGCAGAGACGCGAAACCCGAGTGCGGATCGTAGGAACTATAAAGTACCCTTTAAAGTGGCGAAAGTCTCGAACTCGGTCGTCCAAGGGGGTCTTAGGGTACCCGTTTGAAATATCCGGTTCGCATAGCTTTCGTGCTCATCCGTCTCTGACGTCTATATTAACTGACGCGACCGTTACAGAATCTCAAATATGACGTTATTAAAATATAATCTTCGAAAAAGAAAAGTAAACGCCCCTTCTACAATGGTATTCAGATTTACATTGACCGGAGGCTCCCACTCATCGATTCCCATGAACGAGCCAGCCGTTAATCGGAGATCCATGAATGGGCGAATTCAAAGTTCGCGCTCGACCCCCTCCCTAGGGCGGGCTGGTCGGGTCGGTCCTGCGGACCGTCTCTCGACCGTGCCCAGGAGGCCTTCACTCGGCGTGACATAACCCGGCGGCTGAACGTGGGGCGTCACGTCGCGCGCCACCCCCTCGCTGTGGTGCGAGCGGGGGAGGGGGCCGGCGCAGGCGCGGAAGGGCGACCGGCCCCCGCTGGGCCGAGTTTGCAGTCTGGCGTCGCTGGTCGACGTGAACGGAGTAGAACGGAATTCGATCCGGGGCCGGTACCGTCGTCTTGGGTCGTCGCGACGCGTCATCGCCCCCTTCGCCTCGTCGCTCCCGGTCAACCGGAAGTTCGAGATCAGCCCTCCGCGTCCGGAGGACCGCCTCGCCGGTCCTGGGAACTCTCTGCTTCCGGACGGGCCCGAGGGAGCGCGGCGAGCGCCGTGGGCGAGCTTAAGGGGCCGCAGCCGCCACCGTACCCGGCCGCGCCGCCGATCGGATCGATTTTAAACCGGAAAGCCGACCAAGTATTGTTCTCCCGCCCACCCGGAACTGCCGCCGTCGAGACGCTCGAGCACGGACGGACGGACCCGAAGACGGCAAGGGTCGGGCGCTCGGGCGCTCTCGCAGGTCGACGGAGCCCGGTTCTCCGCGCTGCCGGAATGCCCGAAAAGGCATGCCGACCGACTCGCTAGGGAACGCCCCCACGAGTCGTGGCCGAGACGACCACGTCGCGCATTCTTCCGGGTAGTTGACACCGAGCGTCTTCGGTCCGACGCGCACCCGTCGCTTCGGCGACCCTCTTAAGGGACGGCGGAAACGGCCCTCGGGTGCTCGCGGACAACCTGGATCCGATGTGCATCGTCGAAGACCCGGTATACCAGATCGATTTGATTTCATATCGCAGTTGTCGTCTCGCACGGGTAGACCTAGGTCTAGCTGAATCCCCGGAATTTCGATTTACCGGTCGTGGCAGAAAAATTGACTCGCTCAGAAACGGTAATTTATTATATACCGAAAGGCTATGCGTGTGGATTTTCTGGTTAATCGGTGAAATATTGATTTTTGTGTAATTGGTCGGTTGGCTAGGACGAAGGGGAGGCTAGAGTTGAAAATTTAATTTGAAGCTCCATTCTTGCCCGGTGACGTAGACGCGGATGTAGCGCTGCCGTCGAAAGGGCGATGCTACCGCGAGACCGCTCTGAAGCTAGCTGCGGCGTAGAACATTCGGGGGTAGATTTGAGACTGGCGAGTTGTGGGTAGATTTCTGATTTTTATAGGCTGAATTAAGACATGTTATATTATTCATAGTAGTTTGAGGAGCATATATATATTGGTCGGTTTTAATCATGTGCACAGGAAGAAGCATTAGAGAAATTATTTAACCACAGATATTCGTGTTTAAATTTCAAAAGTTAAATTGTTAACAGTGGAATTGTTACAAAAACTTTCTGTTTGACAAAAATTTGAAATTACGGGGAGAACGCGACAACGGCGTAGTTTTTCTAACAAGAATTAATAATCTTAATAATTACTCTGCACGTTAGTCCAGAAATTGTGTAGACAATGAGTAGATAGTACACCTTTATAAGCATTACGTAGTTTTATTTTATTATGATTTTTTATTTTATTATAGAAGATCTCTCGAACATGGATGTTTAAGTACCTTTACGTATTTGTGGACTTAACAAAACTCTTTCTTTCTTTTCGATATATTGTTTTTCATTCTTCTTTTCTTACACGCAGATAAATGCTGCATAGGGGAAAAATCTTATTCTTATCATGACAGATAACGTTGAAAAAGGTAATTGAGTTTGTGTTAAGGTGTTAGAATAAAATGACGGAGTGAACGAACGCAGACATGCAATCACATTTCGTAGTTATCGTTTGCATTCACTATATGTTTATCATTGTCATCGTTCCTGTCAAGGAAATTCATGGTTTTAATGATTTTTTAAATATCTCTCGGGTATTATAATTCGCCAATAATATTCAAAAATCGAGTTTTCAAAACCAGGACATGGATCTTGGGAGTTTTATGGTCAAGTACAAATTGGAAGTATCGTGTACTTTTGTTCAAAGCATCGTTAAAGATCGCAGCCGTATCACTATTTCAATTAACTCACTGTGACTATGTCTTAATTTCAGTAAATGATATTGGCAAGTGGAATACTTTTTAAGAATTCATTACGTCCCGGCCATAAAGAAGCACCGAGACGAACTAGCCGACACGAAGCCACATTCCCAGCCCTTCACATTTCACAAACTTTATTGTTTACTCCTAAGCTTGCGCGCCATCTACCCTTAGGCGTACTTGGGAATCCCGAGTGGCATCAAAATTAATTTTCTCGTTTCAAAATTAATCCTTTCCGCTTTAACGTATATCCGGTTTCCTCGAATGAAGTCGCTTATCTCCAAAATTAACCTACTTGTTTCAGACCGCCTCTAGACGCTCCTAACCGTGTTTACCCGCCGCAGTCTAGAATCCATTTGTTTCAATATGAATCTCTTATTTCGAAAATGGACTCGGACGTCTCAAAATGAATATTCTGAAAACGAAATGGCTTAATACCCCCTAAGATAGTCATTTAAACACGAATTTCTTTTTGACGAATTAAACCATTTTGCGGAAGAAATGGATGGGGGCACGGTTAGAGTCTTTTTCAGCTGAAGCGTGTTACGCTTTTTAATTTTTCTTTTTTATCGAGCTCTTCTCGTATATGGAACAGACTCACCAAGGTTTTCGAGAAGAAGACGACCGTAGTTAGCATTTTCCAAGGAGATGGCGGTCGTCCTAGGGGTTCGGGCGAAGGATCTTGGCAGTAAGATGGTTTCGCAAAAGTCGGCCAAAAATTATCTCCCTGTTCCGTTAGTAGAGGAGGTCCAGCTCCGACCAGACAGCGCGGCGACGGTTCTCCTTCGCGAGCCAAATCTCTCCTCGTTCCTTCTTTCTTCCGTCGATGTTCTCACGGAATGGACCAATCGCGAGCTAGCTTGCATCGATAACGTATGCTTGTTGAACCGCCCGATTTGGAATTTGGGCTCACTAGCGGTATGACTTCGCACCCTTGCGCCATATTTCCTCGCTCCTTGGAAAACTTCCCAAAAATTGGATCTCACTGGACCGTTTTACGCGCAAAAAGCCACTGCGACGGGGGGACAATGCCGCATCGAGCTCGGTGGACTCGGTAGTCGGAGTGTTTCAATTGGAACATTTTGCAATGGGAATTTCACTCCACAAGATCGCTGAAATTGACTGAATCCTTTCGATAGCCCTTCAATCCTGACTGCCGTGTCGAGTGTGTCGGGGATTCGGAAGTACGTCGTTTGCATCCACATATTCAGGACCTTTCCCAATCACTTGAAATCGCCCTGTGATTTGCTATCTTATTGCGAGATTTCTCAGAGCCAGACTTATCATCAGGAGATTCCAGGTCAGCGGGTGGCACTTTAAGAATGCTCTGCACGAGTCCGTAACCCTTGGATGAATTGACCCTGAGTAAAATCAGGTTACACGTGGAATGCTAGAATTTGTTAAGTACCGAGGATATATAGCTTAGCTACATTTGAAGTATAACCTTTGCTGCTGTTCGCTATTGGATTTGCTTAATCTTCGTTAAGTCAATTTTTCAAAATATCGTCCCTTCATCGAGGCACCCGAATTACTTTTCTCAATTCCCGAAATCTCGGAGTTGCAAACAATCAGGAATCTCTCTGGTAAAGTAATTACGTTCTCGATGCGCAATATCAATTGGACTTTCTTATATAATCGAGTTCAAATCATCAGACGGGTTTTAATTAATTATTTCGTATAAATTTTAACGCGTTGTCGATCTTTTTTTTTTTTCTAACGAAGCATTGAGATGTGTAAAATTTGCATCAAATTCTTCGTTAACATCCACTCGTCAACGACGATTTTTTCAACGTCTGATCTTTCTGTGTCCGCGTAAGGTTCCTTTCTGAAATCAAATCATAAGGGTGGATTGACCCTGGGTAAAATCAACCGGCACGTGGAATGGTGGACTGGTGGAACGCAGAGAGCAGTCAGAGTTTTGGGGAGGGTCGAAAGTCGGGGCTTTCGGCGAAGGGACTAAACTTATGCAGCCTGGACGCAAACGGCGAAACGAACGCAGGGGCAGGAGAGAAGGGCGGTCGGCACCTCTCGGTCGATACTAGCGGCACGGCACTGGCAACAGGAGCGGGTTACGTGTGTTTCGGTTGGGCACCTCTGCGCACACCCCGTGCTCAAAGTACGTCTACGGGAAACTACGGAATTAAGAGGAACTACGAGGATCTCTTTCTTCCTTTCCCCGTTCGCTTCCTCTGTTCCTCCACCTTCCTTTCGTCACTCCCCCTGTCATTCTCTGATTGGAGGGATTCTCTCTTCCCCTCCCTACCGTTTTCTTCCTCTTTCTCTCATGTCCCAAGCATTTCGCGGCGACGTGCACGGGCTATAAATACATCTAAGCATCGGATCGATCACGAAATAAATTCGTGCGGCAGAATTAAGCAGAATTTATCCACGGGGTGGCTTGATGTGATCGAAACTCTCCGTCCGGTCTGTGCGTGCACTTAGAGGGGCGACAATATTGGCGAGAATAATTATCGCGAGGGGGCTATGTCACCGGTAGGGTTTCCGCCTCCAACTGGGTACTCGGAAATAACTGCTGCAATTATGCGCTAGGGTTTTCTGTTAAATTTCGATCAGTTCATGTATACCCTATCTGAACGTTGTGAATGCGTCGTAAACGCTGGAATTTAGATTTGAATTCTTTTGAAAATGTGCGTTTGAAATAAGATGATAAAGAAACTCCGGATCATTCTTGGATCCTTTACAATTGTCAAGTATCAGAATTTCTTGTCATTTGTGATGTGCTAATATTTGTTTCCAAATATTGTTTCACTGGAATACTGTATTTTTCTGTAGGATGCAACTGCAGGGTATGGAATCGATATTGTTTGTCTGAGAGGTAAAAGAAGAGTAGATTGATTTCCCTTGTAGGAAACTTGTCTATTGATGGATGTATACTAGAAAATCTTTTAATTCCATGGGGATACAGCAGTCGCCAATTGAAGCGAAGGAAGGGAAGAATATCGGAATACCATGTGTTAATAGTACGAATATTGTGGTATCGCCCGTTGGTCGGTGACTCATTACTAACTTGACACGCACAAACTTCCCACGGCGAAATTACGCAAAATATATCCGTGAGGTTATTCGGTACGGTACTCGCTAAGCATGTGCAATTATGAAACATCACCCTGTTATTTTGAACAGGGTAATCATCAGACTTGTTCGAGGGGTGATGATCGGTGGTTGATTCATTATTCAATTGACACGTAATCATAAGGAATATGCAATTTATCCTATTTATTTCGTTTTCATATGCTGCTTTTATCGAGACCCGCCATGGACACTTAGCACATGCCATTTTTTGCGGGCTATTTGACGAAATAGGCGGTGGGGTAGTCGAAGGCTCTCGGGATTGAATGTATGAGCAAATAAACGAAATTATTGAGAGTATCTAGAATCATCGACGTGTGGGAATCAAAGAATCATTTCTTATCTAGGAAGAATTGTCCACGTCGAGGAATATCGTGCTTAATGGGTTCATATCATATTGTGATTATGGTGCAATTTACTATAGTGGAACGCGTGGAAGTGGTACCTACCACAAGTGCTGGTGGTTATAGTCGCTACTCTTGGGATTTCTGTGACTCCTGGATCTTAGAATGACAAGCCGAATATCGATCTCTACATTTTTCCGTCAGTATTCTCGACCTTGGTTTCAATAACTCTTTTTAACTGCTTACCTAGTACTTAATATTGAAAAAAAAAAGACCAACCGGCATAGTGACCTGCAGTAACCGCTGAGCACAGGAAAAGTAACTGTACAACAGGATCGATGCTATAAGTATACAGAACATGACGTTTAATTTTGAACGAGAACGCAATGGATATTTTAATACCAGTAAACACATGAATGAATTTCTAAATCCAAACAATTTCAAAACGTTTATTTATTCCTTATCAGTATATATAAATACAATACGCGTATCGATTCAACATACATCCAAGCAATTTACCGGAATTACGGCATAAACCCCTAGAAGTATGTTAAACATTATGTCGACAAACGTACAACTGCGTGACCTCAATTTCATACTTCTTATATAACATTTATCAGGTGAAAGACATTAAAAGAGCCACCTGCAGGCAAAACACCTATTCTCGACCATTCGAAAATCAATCGACGGAAGAGAATTATTTGTGAACTAATGAACCTGAACCGTAATTACAGGATGCTTCAAGGAAGTGGGGCGAACACGTGACAATATATCACAAACTGAATACCACACTGACTATTAGTAATTATTAGTGATGGTCTGACAATGCCGTCTCTATAAGTCACGATTATTTGGAAAATTATGAAAAAAAAATTAGAACTCCGCTCTGTTTAATTCTTACACCGGTATTCCTTCTACATGTGCTTTTCCAGAAAATACACGCGAAAAACGCGACATAATTTGTCGCAGCCACGGCTTCCTAGTTTACTGTAATTACCGGTGCAAATAATTTTCTCGTTTTTCAGAAGTGATCGCCTTTCAGGGAAAGGTGATCCAGGGTGAGCTAGGATTGGTTCGAAAATTCTAATCGACGTCCAAAGCAGCACTTGCTGCCTCGAGGTCGAGGAAGCATCTTTTTGGAGCCGAGGCATTCTTTCGAGGCCGCGTCTCGTTGTCGTTTGCGAGGCGATAGACGACCGTGTCTTTGTCATCGGCGCGTTCGGAGGTCTAGCGTCCCGACTCTTCTTCTAAGCAGCCGGCCAGCTGATCGGCTGGCCGGAAGTTGCGAGGCCAATGATGGCAAGTCCGGCCAAGGGACGGAAACACTCGAAGCGCGCTTCTCGTGGTGTCATTGGTACCATTACGAGTGAAGTGACGTATTTAAGTGAGTTATGATTAATTAGCGGCCGCAGCCAGCCAGCCCAGTCAGACCAGCTAGCAAGAGGTCTTGCTAATTAGAGGTGCTTCAGACCCCCGTACTCAAGCCTAACTCGAGAGTAAGTTTTCCTTTCCTCTTTCTCGTCTTTTTCCTCTTTTTCGTCCGAGCCGATGTATTTCTTTTTTCGCACCGTAATGTCTTAACAAATTGTGCCCCTCCGTATTGGGATCGTTTCTTCGTTCCCTATTGGACCGGAGAGCCCCTGTGTGGATTCTGTCGAGTTTCGCAGGAAACGCTACCGATCAAAGGCTCGTGATTTCAACCCTGTGAAACGTGTTGCCTTTCTATTTTATTCTCTCTTACTCGTTAATACGATTTGCTTTTCTTGCTTTGCCCGTTTTGTATTCTTTGGAGGTGCGTGTTGGAGCTGATAGCCTACAACAATTTTGTTTTTTCTTTCACTTGTGGATGTGCCCTATGTTCTCGAAATATAATCGTTAGAATCTTGCTGAGCTAGAAGTTACGCTAATTGCGGTACTAAATTATCAATGGATGAAAGGTAGTATTGCCTCAATATCGATGCGATTGCTGCTAACGACTAGTCAGTTTGAATAAAATAGCGCTTGGGTGAACGCTCGGTGAGGCAATCATTCGATATTAATAAAAAAATAATTTAACATTCATTCATTTATAGTGGATCTATTTCACGGTAGAAGGTTGCGCTATGCTGAATTTATTTTGAATTTCATACATTATGGGCCCGGTCTCATCGTTTATCTTCTCGTAATAGGACGCCAGCATGCTGTATTATTTTTCCTGTCCTATCGTACAAATTATTTAGTATAGAATATAAATCTCCGACATATAATAGTCCTTATCGTTTATGAAATCTTTATTAGAAATACCGAGAAGATAAGTTGTCGTAGGTGATTAATATATTAATTGGGTTAAGCGGACGCAAGAAAAAAGGACTTTCTTATTGAGATGTGCGTAAAATTACAACTTGCCTTCAAACTCATTCGAGGTAACCTGTCGTCAAAGTTTATCCTATGTTTAGGGCTGATATATCAGACCTGGTAGACTTGGTATCAATAAGCAGCTCCTTGTTATGTTCTGGACATACGGGTCCTGTATTACGGGCAAAGCAATCAACCTGCTTCTGACGTCAAATTACAAACGTTCCTGACCTGTCGCAGGAGCGGTTGGAAAGACCTTGACATTCCCTTTCTCTCTCTCTGTTGATATCTCTATCTCTTTGACAGTGAATCTCTCCCTATATCTCTCACACTCTCCCTCTTTCTCTCTTATACTATATCTGGGTACCTGGGATATCACGGGCAATTTCCTATTTTCTATTTTCAAATTCAGAAAGTAGAAATCTAAAACCCATGTGCAGTGGAATAAGATTTACACGCGTTACATTTTAAATTAATAACGGACGTTTAATGTTAAAAATTAAACTTTAATTTTCTGATATTTTTATTTAATTTCATTTGAAATTAATGTAGTCAAAGGGATATATTCTTATTTTTCACACGACATAAGTATAATGGTGCTCTTATCTAATTATCCCACTGCAAGTGCTCAAATAATCAACGATTTAATTAAAGCGAATGATAATGTAATTAAAATTTGCTCATCGTTGTGTCTTGGGATACAGTTCATCTTGTCAACTTGTAATATCTTTCGAAGATTCCATTACGGAATGGAGTGTTTTGGTTTTGTCACAATGTCAGCCAGTGTTATGGATAATATAATTACTTTGTTTCCAATGTCGAATTTACAAGCGAATCCGTCGCTTCGTAGATACGTGAGGGAGATGTTGACACTCTTCCTTTCGCTTTTTTGCATCGTCCCTCTCTCTTTCCGCTTACGCGACGTTGAGGCGCGTAAATGTCACGAATATTGATTGTCGCATACTCTGTAAAAAGTGCATAGAGTTCGGCCGTAGCGTAAACGAGAATCGATCAAGCCAAAGTCGCGATCAAGCTCATCACCAACGAAAAGGAAACAATTGAGAATGCTGTGAATCAAAACACACAAATAAAATGGAATAATGAAAGAAATGAGGTACTGCAAAGAAGAACAGAAATTGAGTAAAGGCTCCTTCGAACCGACCTCTAGATCATATCACCAATCTATTACGAATACTGTTTCACGAAGAAACTGAAGTAACAATCGGTAAACCTTTGCCTGCAAATATGCAAACAAGAGCTAGTTTTTGGAAAGATAAGAACGTGTACATTTAAAGAAAAATGTTAAAGGCCACGAGAAGTGGAGAATCGATAAGTTAGAGTCGCATTCGAGCATTTCCCGGTAAAAGCGCGATATGACCAAAAATCCTATTTTTTGACATGTGACGTTCGTTAATTAAAAAAAGACATTTTCAATCCAACGACCCACGCAAATGTCATTCCTGGAAGTGACGTCGCAAAGAAAGAGAGGGGACGACGATCCGCGATTTGTCGAGCTGCTCGAAGACAATTCGGTGATGGTATTTCGAAATTTCGACGTTTCGAGTCAGAGAGATCTATACATTTTTGCGGGAGTAGGAACAAGGGCTAGGTGGTTCGTTCCGTGAGCGTAAGTGAAGAGTCGCACCTGATGTTACCTTTTCGCGTACGTCAAAAGGAACCGTACTTGACGCTCTTATGTCCCTTTCCCGGGTAGGGGAACTTTTTAGGAGAAATTTCCAAGAGAGCGGGCGTCTCGACGTTTTCGCGAAAAATTCTCAAGCCCCGGCATATACAGGGTTAGAGAGAGAGAGAGAATTGCGCATTGCGCTAGTCCGACGACCCGCTCCACGAGCGACCATCGACGCACTTTCTAGGTCGAGTTCCTTGTAGTCTAATATTAAATGAATTGCTTCTCCGTGATCTCGAAATCAACCGGCTGGACCAAGTTTACCGGCTCTGACCTTCGGCCTTGAGTTTGCGGTTCTTTTGTCGCAGTCCAATGTGACCCTGTAGGTGTATCTTGACCGAATGAGTTAACAAGTTTGAATTTCGGTTGTGCTCTCTCTTCTTTTAGAATTCCATTTATGAGAAAATATCTCCCAGCATTGATTTCAAATTTTATTGGCTTTATTTTATTATGTTTATTAACAGTATTATGTGAGCTTTTCGGATTACTTTTCCATGGAGATACGTACCTATTGTCGGAAACTTTCGATTTTTCTGGATGAAAATTTCATAATTTATTGAGTTTGAATTGGACTTACGCGTTAAGATATTATTTTTTTTCGATTTCATACGATCTTTTCATTGTCATGTATTTTGTTTTTTTTTCTTGCAGAAAGTGAAGGGACGAGACGAATCCAGGATGGGGTCCTGCGGGGTGTATATGTCGCAGCTGCGTGCGATGCTGGTCAGAAACCTTCTTTTGAAGAAGCGGGATAAAAGAAAGACTACAGCGGTACGTACCTATATGTTTTCCCTTTTTATTCGAATGAGTCTTTTTTAATTTGAATACGTTGCTCGAATATATTCCTCGAATGTTTGTAAATGAATTTACGATGACGTTAGAAGCAACACCCTAAGGGGTACATCGACGTTTGAAGTGCACAATTAGTATGCGAACGAAGCTGATGGAAAGCACGAAGTTCTTGAAGCCACGTACTTCTTCCTCACGTATCACAGCATGCGCAGAATTAAATTACTAAGTCAGACGTCATGGCGAGAAGTGACTTCCGACTGATTCGATAAAAAAGTCTTCTCGTCCGGAGAAAATCGAGTAAATTATTATCAAAGGACGTGGTAACTCGATTCTTGCTGAAATGTGTCAACCTTTAACTTCTTATATATACAGAGCGCGTATCATCGAACTTAAGTTCCAAATTTGGTCTTTTTATTGAGCCATACTTTACCCAAAAGTAATTAAATTTTCTTTTGAAATTTCCGTTTACCTCGTACTTCTTCCTTCGGTCGAAAATGGCTCAAATTTATTCCTAAAATACTTCATATTACATGTGAATCTAAGAATAGTAATGAAAAGTCGCATTGTCCCGTAATTTCAATTGGCTATATGACTTATTGGTACTAAATTTTGCTAATCACCCTGACATAGGACCTCCAAAAGTACATCCTTTATATCTTCATCACCGCTCCCAAAGTTTTCTTAGCTTTTTATTGAAGGCTCGTATTCCTATCGCGTTCTCTGTCTCGTTTGAAAGCTCACTGGTTGTTTTCACGAGGAACTTGAACGAATTCCTCCGTATTTTTCTCTGTTTATTCGAAATTTCTCATTGGAATTTTTTTTTAAAGCAGTTTACCGAGGATCATCTTTACCTCCATCTCTTTTACTTGATGTTTATTCCATTCTTCTTTAAGGTGTGTATTCCTTGTCCTACTCGGAACATTCTTTATACGAGCCACATGAAAAACTTCTTTCGAGCCTTTCATTAATTCAAAATTTCTCTATAAAATTTGTTGTGCAGTAGTTTTTCTAAAAATATGTCATTGTCAGTAAATCTCAGATTGATCGATGTATGACGATAAGCGAGTGGAGGGACTGCCCGTCAGTTTTCTTTTCTTTGTTATGTTTGATTTCGTTTCCTCTCTTTAACTCCTTTTGCTGGTACCACTAGTCTGACTCGCGGTACCGAATATGGGCGAAACGTGAAAACCACGAGTCAGACTCATGATTACAATTTCGGGAGAAACAAATTTTCCCTTTATGCAGACATCTTTTTCAACCTTTTCGACTCGTTTTCCGAAAATCTCCACGGATCACTTTGACCCGTTTGGCGACCGTCACCCCTTACCAGTTTGGTCCAGATTTTGCCGAGCTAATTGGTACGGTATGGGGTTAATGATGCAGCATACCATTTTGGGCGGTCCTTTCATTTTGGTTTATCCTCTCAGTTTCTCGGTGCAGAAGTCTATAAATGTCGAGTAGCCGTTTCTGTTAGACCCCATTTCCGGAAGATAATAAAGTATGCAATGAATACAGTACGTTTCCAGTGATTCGTCGCAATGATGAACACCCTTCGTTCTCTGTTTCTTCGTCGTTTCCGACTACTTCCGACCTCCCTGTTGGGAGCCGGAAGTATCTTATGAGATGATATTCACTATAAAAAATGTATCGAATAGTTATAATCCAATGAGACGATAACAATTGCGCGTATACACGTTAAACTCTCTTATCAGAAACTCATTGTTTTTTATGTACACGCTTGAGAAATCATCGTTTAAGCAGATACATTTTACAGTACAATCCGTCCGTTGTATAAATTTCCATTACTACTTCTTTGTCACTCTTTCCTTTTCCCATTTCACCAGCTCGCAAACGTTGAGTGTTCGTTATTTTTCAAATTTAAAACATTCGCGGTGATGACTACCTTTCATTTCCAATAATTCGTTCAATTGACGTACTCGTTTTCCATAACTTTCATTCTCCTCTCCTCGTTTTTCATTTATTTCTATAAATACCATCGATAATTAAATGTACTTTATGAAAGAATATTCTAATCAATCGCTACGGTGTAACTGGTGTTGGAGTAAAATACTTTTAACTCTTAACGTCACATTTGGAATGGAATTTGCCACGTATCACTGCTGTAGATATTAATCTGGAGCATTGATTGATTGATAATATTTGAATTTGCAATTTTGAAGCCTTTCACGGGTACCTGTTTTTTTTTTTCAAAGCTATATATCTCACATAGTTTTGTAGTTCAGAATGCACTGGAAGCAAAAGTTTCTCTATTTCTAGGCCAAGGTTAAATCCATATTTATTTTGCATTTGAAGCACGCCTGTTGCGGTAAAAATGTTTCGCAGCAAAATTATGCTGACACAGTCTTTTCGATAAAATCGTGAAATTTCCAGAATTCAGGCAATGTTCCTTTTAAGCAGAAATGTTTGCTAAGTTAATTCAGCACGTGCTGGGCATAGATAAAATTAAAATGATTGAAACCACCCTGCCGCTGATTTCTTCGCGTAAAATACAGTGCCATAAAACAGAGCTTCCACTGTCAGTGGTACTAATTTAATGCTGGGAAACATGCGGAACTTGGTTGTTGCTGTTACGTTGAGACTTCCTCTGTACGTAATGCATTGTCGTTGTCTCTGTGACCGTATCGGCATTAGATCGCTACTAAACATGCACGAGTCGGTGAGAAAGCCATTCAATTTCCGTTTCCACGAGATCATAACATTGGATGCTTACAATATGTTTAGAAAAGAACACTTTTTACAGGAAGGTATTTTTACAACTTTGCGACCACCTAGTAATCTTTGTACATTCCGCGTCATCTCATCCTTTAGGATTTTAATTACCCGAGTACACATCCAACATCTCTGAATTATCAATAGAACGTAATTATTCGACAATGCGGTCGATGAGGAACTTTCCGGTTCCGGTGTTGCAGGTTAATTCGCAATCAAACGCGCGAAATGGACCAGACACAAAAACTAAGAATGCGATTATTATGTTAATTTAGTAGTATCGACTATTCTCTAATTCATTATTTGCGTAGTGGTCTTCCGTCTTCTTCGCCCACTTGGCCTATATATTGTAAATGGATTGGACTTCCGATCGTCCAACAATTACAGCTGTATAATAAGCTCGACGACAAGAAAGCTTCTGTTAACTCGTAGTTTCCAGTATCCGCAACGAAACTCGTGAGTTCGCCCATTTGGAACGCAAAAATCGCCACGAGTTTCATCGGAATAACCAGGAACAGGACGATTACGTTAATTTTGTCTCTTGAATTTGGTAGACCTTGACGCCAGGTCATATCGCGAGATCACTCAGGAACTAGTTGCGCAACCTAACTTCAGGAACATCGCTACTCACGACTACATTTATCGCTGTCGGCATGAATCAGAGTTAGTTAGGTTACCAACTCGAGTGCTAGTGTAGGGTCCAACCTATGCGTGACAGCAATTAGTTGATCTCCGATTACCAGGTATCTTCAAAGAAGTATCATATACATTCGGTTCTATTGCGAGGATGTAGACAAAAATTCAGATTTCTTCGTTAAACCTAGATTAGGATAATCCCCGTCTCCGGATTAAATAATCTGGGTTTGAGACAGATTTCATTACGAAATTATCGAAGTGCTCGACGCAAACGAGCTTACGGATTACGAGTCCGCGGGAAGGTTAGCCGGAAAGAAGACCGTCGAAGTTATTTGCCACTTTAATACTAACCGTATCGGCACTTCACATATACCTAATCATACCGTAACCGGTCATTTGACCGGTTACGAAATAGACGTTATTTTTATGAAAGGAATTGTCAATTTCTCGTGGGAAATGGTGCACAACATAATTTTGATGTGATAATAAAATAATCAATCATATNCGGATATACAATTTTAAATCAAACTTTGAAACCGGTCATTTGACCGGCCCCGGTACGGTTAGTGTTAATCAAAAATGTTCCCGATTTGAATCTTCACCTGGACACAAATCGTTCAGAGTTTCCTCAAAGGGCACTTCCACGTGTTCCGGGATCTCTGGAAGTAAGAGTGGAACTGGAAGACTGCAACGCTCGGAGACAGATAAAGGAAGTCCTGACCTCTCCTAAGTCGAGCTTAGATCGAAAGCTCTTCTTCGATCCGAAGAGCCATCGACCCTGCACAGTCGATTGACCGGCGAAGAGGTGACGCCGATAGCGAGTAAAGAGGAAACGCGAGGGACAGTCCGGAACGTAACGCATTATTCTCGAGGAGAGGGACTCGTCGACTGGAAACGCAGGATTCATCGAAGATTTATTCCGTGGATCGAGGAGGAGTCTGTGGCCTCTTTGAGCTTTGCTTCAGATTTCAGAACGAACGCGGGATACGTCGTCGCAAGGCCTCTAAGAAAACAGCTGGAAATTATCGAGAGTGCCTATACGAAGCTCTTCCTCAACCTCGAAAGCCATCAACCCCGCACCCTTGACTGTCCAGTGGAGTGGTGAAGTAATACCGACGGAAGAGGATAAACGAGAGGAAAAGCCTGACGTCAGGGTTCGTCCTCGACGAGGCGACCCCGAAGCGGAGATGGACAGGGTCCGTGCAGGATTTATGCCGCGCCTCCAAGAGTCTCTTGTTATGCAGTGATATTTCATGAATCCATCTCTATGATTTCCTACTGATTAATTCGCACACAATGTGTGACCCTCGGATTACGAAATTGTGGTCACGCTTTACGATATGATATTACAATGTGTCTAAAACGTGACCTTGCGGTGACGGATGCGTGAAAATTCTCCGCATTGGACGAAGTCTATTTTCACTAGAGTGGAAAAGCAATTTTGGTGAATATATTAAGTGTACAGGTTGAAACTAATCGCGATAAGTATACCACGTTACAAAATGACGTATCGATTAAATTCTTGGGTGAAGAAGATCAGCATTCATATGAGTCTTACGTCACGGATTGGAGGGGATTCTTCTCGCGTGAAATCCCTCGACGGATCGATAAGATCAAAAATGATTCAATGGGGATAGACAAAGACTTGGGCTCCAAAAGCCATCTACCTGCATCCTTGACTAGTCGGTGGAGTGGCAAAGTTAATACCGGTAAAAGGAAAGGAGCGGAAGGAAGAATAAGTCGTCGCGGAAGGTCCTTGAGGGGAAAACCCGGGCCGCGAGAGATTTCAATCGATGCGAATGGAAGAGAATTTCTCCTTTTTCAAATCCCGTATCAGACCCACAGAGATCGAAGATTAACCGACACGATGCCGATGAGGAAATATTGGAGAGTTATCGAGATTGCCCAGACAAAGCTTCGAGGCGATGAAAGTTCCTCACCCCGTGGTTTATTAGTCACGGTCATTGCTTCTGGGTGACTTCCATACTTCGTCCGGAACAAGAACGATTCTCTTCCGTTTTCTCCTGCCGAATGTGCAACGCCCAAAAGTTCTATTGGACTTGATCAAGATAAAATATGGGGCGCACTTTGGACTTACTTCACTTAACTTTTGGATTTATTGGGGCGTCGTAAGAACCCTTTCCACGAACTTTTACATTTATTGGCACAATGAAGAGGCCAATAGAGATCTTAAAAAGAAAAGAAATACAAGATGGAAATATAGACGATACATTGGATATGGTGCTTCAAGGGTGTTTTTGTGTAAATCGATCGCTCGGCTCGGTTTTATTTCTTTTTGAGGTTCTTCGCCTTGTTCTCACGGCCTTTGAAAATCGACGAGTCAATGGTATTGAGCGGACCATCGACCCAAAGCGACGTGGAAACCGTTTTTGTTGGTTTTACAGTTTCGGGAAGTAAGTGGGGCCCAACCAAGAAATAAATCTGCTCTATCCATGTTGGCAGGGGTAGTCCTACGGCGCAGTACTGCCAAAGAGATAGCCCTAGATGCACCAGCATCATCCTAAAATACTTTGTAAAGCTGTCGGCTAGCTGGTACCATCGATCGGTCTTTTGCCGGTACAGCCAAACACCGGGCTCTATATCAGGCCTCACGTACGTTAAAAAGACCTTGCTCGACGAGCACTGTCCAATCTCGAACAATTTACAGCGAGTACTAAAAGATGGAACTTGAGGATCGTCTTGCAGATTTGCATCAGCCTCGGCCTGTTGTTCCTTAGATCCGAGGAAACGCTTAAGTGCGGATAACGTACCTATCTCGCATCTGCCCACGGGAAACTCTTCGCCTGGAAAATAAATGCTTTCGTTTAAACACGAATTAATCCTGAAAACTGAGCTATACCTTATTATCGTTATCGAAGGTCCAGAGATGAAGATCACCATGGATATTTTAAAAAAAGATAAAAATTGACATTCAGTCCGACATTACGTTTACGTTCGAAATGAACGACGAACGATCAATACCAATGATAATTGTGACAAGAAATGAAAAGCACATCGTAGTCAGAGGTTAGGAAATGTCTGTTTTAATTAAAGATGATGACTCAGTAATCTTACCCGCTACTTCGAAAGACCATGTCAATAGAAAACCGTCAATCGACGAATAAAAATTTCTGAGGTCGTCCGGCAGGACACAGCAATGTCTTTGTTCCCAGCTGGTCAATGAGTTCCTATCGCAAGCATTTCTTCTTTCCACCAGGACATTCCTCACGCAAGGGCTATTTTCTAAGATTTTTACGACTCCAAGGGTTAAGTTCTCGTAAAACGAGTCCTCGGTGACGATATCCACGAAGAAAGACATTTTTGATGAAATTTCCTCCGAAGACACTAAAAAGTCGAAGTTTGGTACAGTTTGATACTCCAAATTTTTGGTGAAAATATGAACTAATGGGTTAAATAAAAGGCGGTAGCGATGAACGCAGGGACAACCTGAAATTTGACTTAGTCTAGGCGGCGGAGTTGATTTCACTCTCTGTTAGAAGACGACTAAGGAATGGAGGGCAGACCGATACGAACGTAGAGAGGGTTGAGCGACGTTTATTTACTTCCATGGTAACGCGAGAAGGGCAATGACTTTCGTTTTGAGCAAGTGTATTCAAAGTGAGTCGGGTACTTAGTAGTTTTCTTTATCATTGGAACTCGATTAGTGGACTCCGTTTATTATTAAATTGTGTAAATCAACTTTGGACAAATCGATTTTTGTACGAAGTGAGTTTAAAATAGAAATCTAAACGTTCCGAACTGATTGCGAGGTAGTAAACTGCAGTACCTCTTGCTCGCTCCTGGTTGCAACTTCATGGTCTAATCGTTCAATAAGCAAACTTTAACGAGGTACAACGTACTTCGAGAGAGTGAAAGGGCTATTCCTCTTTTCAAACTGTTAAGCAGAAGGATCGGTTTTGCCCTGTTTCGGAAATAGGCTATTAGAATGGGAAAAGTCAACTGAGATGAACGAAGAGAAGGTCAAATGGTAATTACTTCCATCTATGATAACACGACGGAAGTAATGACTTTCATTTTAAGCCGAGTACCTAAACGTAGCCGAGGAACTTCTTTTTCCTTGTGATTTTGAAGATATAAATAAGTGACCTTTGAAGGAAGTTTTTAGATATCCATTATTTAACTGTTTAAAAAATATTGAGCTCCAAAAAGGATAGGTTTTCGAAATTTGTATGTTTTTGGATTCAATTTTGTAGTTTAAGAATATTCAATGAAGTAAGGAACTCATCAGACTGGGAAGTTTGAAAACAGAGTAGGTTTCACCCTTTGATGACAATAAACAACCATAGGGTGGTGGGTCGGCCGATATGAACACGATGGATGATTCTCTCACCCAATGTTTATTTGTTCCCATGGCTATGCCAAAAGGTTAATAAATTTTATTTTAATGGGACGGGACCATGGGTGAGACACCTTTCAGGAGACTCCTTGTACTTCTTATTTTACACCTTGCGAAGGACCGCAGATAAATCTTAAATTTACTTATTGAACAATTCTCTTTTGTTTCCAGGAAATCTTCCTGCCTCTCTACACCCTGGGGATCTTAATCGTGGTGAAGGTGCTCGTCCCCAATCCGAACTATCCAGCGATGACCACGCCGAGGCAGGAGGACGACATTTTCGAATATTTCAACGGGTACAAGAACAACACTATCGCCGTCGTGCCGAACTCCACGGAGACTCTGGTAAGCTTTCTGTACCCGATAGCTTATCATCGGTAACTTTGCACTGTCTGTCCATCGATACACGCTGCTTTCCGTGTCCCCGAATACATTCAGGATAGCTTCCGTTCAAATATGTTCTTAGGAAAGTAGCCGTCTCGTTCGTCCGTATGAATATTCAAATTTCTAGGAACTTTATTGTGCAATTATGTGTATCGTTACTCTAGGTACGCAACATTGTTATGTGATCTAATTGTCGGAGAAAAGCATATTACGGGAGGTATTTCGATAACGTGTGAGGTGCTTTGAAGCGAATACTTTAACAGAGGAGCAGGTTCGCTAAAAGGTGGACCCTCGTAGTCGCTGAAACACCTTTTAATTGCTCTTTCAAAAGTGCATTTTCTCTCAGAGGTGTACCGATGATAGTGCAATTATGCTTTCGGATGCTTCGCAGTGGCGACATGTTATTGCTTTGCTTATAAAAATGTACGGTTTGTATAAATAAGTACAATTTATAACCTATAAGTTCAAATAAGGAACATTGTGGCACCACGGTTCGAACGTGCTCCAAGTATTAAGCATGAAATTAATTTTTCATTGTATCATTTAGTTTAAATACGTGTTCTCTTAATCCATCGACCCATACGACTCGTCGCAATCATAATGAAGTTTAAAAAAGAAATTACAGAATTATTTCGTTTTACATATTATTAAGTCTTCGCATTTAATTATTTCGAGTAGGTTTTTTATGTACGGCTTTTGTTTGACGTCACGAATTATGTTCATGTATCGAAGGTCGCAACGAGGCACCCCTAACGAATCAATCCGCACGGGTAAGTTTTACCTCGGCATACTGTATGTTAATAGCGTCACTTCAATGACGTCACGGTCGGGCCATCTTGAAGTGGCAATTCTTGAATGAGGAGCAATCCATCGACGTTTTCATCTTCGTCTAAAATAGGTCGCGAAATTACGGCGTTTAGAGTTTCCGCTGGTCGGGCCAAAGTGGAGTCTTTAAGGTGTCAATCGTTGTCGAGGAACATTTTCGTTTAATCGTCGGCGGACTTTATCACTTCTGGTCCAAGCTTCGTTCACCATTTCCTTCGCAGTGTTAACTGGGCGTACTTCTGCGTTGGTGAACATCGGGGTAACTCGTAAAACTTCCGTCCAACATCGATCCGGGCCCTGCCCTCGTCCGATCGAATTGAATTTCTCTGGTTGGACTTTCCTTAACGCGAGCGTTATTAAAGCTTCGCAGCGAAGGTCTCCCTTGAGATGACTCGCACCGTCGACAATCGATCTCGTAATTTAGTCCGTCTATTTTTGTTTCTTTTTTTCCAGAGTTTCCTCAACGCTATGAATACCCTCTGGTATTCCATGTGGGACTCTCCCGGGAGGCTACCCTTGAATTTCATGGTTTTCGATACGAAAGACGATCTGCAGGCGGCTTATTGGAGGGAGCCTTACAGTGTGCCATTAGCCGTCATCTTCGAAGACCCCCAACCGATATCCCGGCGGCTACTGTAAGTTATAATGTACTGCAATTAAGTTAAATACTAATGTCATATATTTAGACAGAAAATTTAACGGAGGCGATGAAAAATGTAGCTTTATTACGAAGTTTTTTTTCTACGTAATTTACTCGCTCTCTCTCTCTCTCTCTCTTTGCAAAATCGCATGTAGTTAATTTGCATATGTCATTTCAAATGCCTGGGTTAGTGGCATATAATTAATGTGCCATTAACTACAAAATGTGAAACGGCGTCATGTGACTACATTAATTACGAATTATCATGATAACGTTCCTACTAGTTATTATTATGATATTCAGTATTGATACGATGAGCAGTTGCTCACAGTTATCGGCGATGTAATTGCGAAATTGAAGGTATTACATGCCAAAGGATGATAAAAATCACGGTTTCTATAGTTTTAGATTTATGTCGGTTTTTCCGTGTAGTTCTCCCTTATCTTGCTGCATAAAAACCTGACGAACTTCGTTAAAGGCTGTTGCATAAGCGGAATGCATCGTAAATCGCTACCATCGCATGGTTGTGATTAAAATCTTATTTCAATGTCAAGTTTAAAGTTTTAACTTGAAGTGGGAGATTCAGCGAGTGGAATTGTAGGCACGGTAAGTACACCTGGTAGGGGCTGGCTGCTTTGGAATAATGATTCGCTCACCGAGAGACATTCCACCACCGAGCGTAACTCTCTGTCGCGGGTAGCTTCATTTACGTCGTCTAGACGCGTTTACAGGACACTTACTATAGTCGCATTAATTCCTGATTTTAATTAAGGACGGATTACTCGAGGACCCAGAGAAAATGTGGCGTGAACTCACCCTTCTTTTTACAGCAATTAAATTCTACAAAGAAGCATGCCAGGCGATATGTCGCCCTTGTCGGAATGATCGCGACGTTTCGTATACACGAATAATTCGATTAGATAATTCGACTTATTCTTTTCGGTCCCTGGATTTTCTATTTATCCTGTAAGTCGTCTATTTCATTTTTTTCCCAACGAAAATGGCGATGGAACTTCACTTCTGGTACTCATATTCATCGATTCGACGTGACCTAATCATGTTCATACATCGAGTAAGAGGATACATCCTACGTCCTGTCTGTCAATGCATCCGCATCGTCCTATCGAATTTTCAATCACTCCACCGATACTCTGTGTCTGTTTCATTTTACCTCTCTCCGTTCGCGATGTATTCCGCTCATAGTAAATTCTGGTTCAACTTGCATCGAATTAGTTCATTCTGGCAGTCAGGATTTTTAGCTTTTTTTCTTGTTCAAGAATTTTATGAATAACCTACACGGGTGAATGTATTTTAGTCTATAGATGAATATATCTTATGGAAAAGTATGCAAAGTTAAGAATCATATAAAATTATATTTTTGTAACTACTCGCCATTTTCAAATGACTGCTGATATGAAATGTACGTCTATTTAATTACAGGTATGAAATACGAACGAATCCATCATACACATCTCCTCCATCACCGACGGAAATGTACTCCTCCCCTGTAACGTGTCGCAAGGACACCAGTCATTGGATGGGTGGGGTATTATCCATAGAGACTGGTGGATCCTGTCCTGCGAACAATTATTTCTATTCCGGTTTCATGGCATTGCAATTGGTTATGGATACCACAAAGATTAGAGTACGTTCTCCGTTGTTTGAATTGCTTCATACGTGCCAGAGGGTCTCGAATATTTAATGGATACTTTCTTGTAGCTGGATACCGGAAACTCCGACATAACGGTGCCCGACATCAAACTCGAAATGTTTCCAAAGAAAGCCTACACGGCAGGTAATTTTTCCTCGAAAAGCCCGTTGTTTACTTTCATGATGTTAAAGCTGAGTTTCTTTTATTGAGGATTAATGGAAATGATCGTTTTTAGACTGGATGTTGGCCTTTAGGGTTGTGATACCGTTGTACATGGTATTAGCTCTCTCACAGTTCATCACGTATCTTCTGATTCTGATTGTGGGCGAGAAAGAGAACAAGATCAAGGAAGGAATGAAGATTATGGGTTTGAAGGATTCCGTCTTTTGGTGAGTGTTCATAGTTATTTCAAAACCGTTTTATTTAGTATGTCAAATATTATGTATGTATTTTAGGTTATCCTGGTTCATCATATACAGTGTTTTCGTCTTCATCCTCTCTGCCGTTGCAGTAGTCCTTCTGTTCACCCTGCAGATGTTTCAGCACACCCACTTCCTTCCGATATTTCTTCTAGTGGTACTGTATAGTTTCTCTGTCATCATGTTCGCCTTCATGATCACACCCTTCTTCGATAAATCGAGGGTGAGAAACTTTCTGCTGCGTACGTAGAATTTTCTACGAATTCAAGCGACAGCTTCTTTGCAGCATAGCATGGCTGGAAATTACGTTTTCAGACTGCTGGGGTTCTTGGAAACTTTGCGATGACCATCCTCAGTTTGATGTACTTCATACAAGTCTTCGTGGATGATCCGAGTTCTATTTCCTTCTGGGTGGTGTCTTTGGTCAGTCCCACGGGAGTGGCTCTCGCAATGGACAAGGTGTGTTTCCGAGCTTTACTTCTGCATTAACTTTTCTACATCGTCGAAAACGGTTTATTATTTTTTAGGCTCTCGTTTTGGATCTACAAGGGGAAGGAGTAAACTTCGACAATCTTTGGTCTGGTCCTGGAATACCATTCGGCGGAAGTCTCGTGATGATGACCCTGGATATATTCCTTTACGCCTGCCTAGCATATTATCTGGATTCGGTCGTTCCGAGTATGTAAATTGTATTTCTATGCTTGCCATCATATATTGAATCATAATCTTTAAATAATATCCCATGAATTACTTCCAGGTGAATACGGCGTGAAAAAACCTGTGTGGTTCTGTTTTACTCCAGGATTCTGGTGTAAAAAAAAAGTTCAAAGGGTAAGTTAGCAGCACCTTAAAAAGTAAGAAACTTGTAGACATGCTGAGAGCTTAAACGTTATCTTTCAATCAAGGTTCCATCTTCCAATGGAGAATCGAACTCTTTCATACCTGGAGAAGAATCGAATCGTGACGTAGAACCGGTAGTACGTGAAATGAAAGGACGCGAAGCAATCAGAATAGTTGATCTTTATAAATCATATCATAAATGTCGTAAACCGGAGATTAAAGCCGTTAATGGGATCAACCTGACGATCTACGAGGGTCAGATCACTGCCATTCTGGGGCACAATGGAGCTGGGAAAACAACTTTATTCAATATTCTAACCGGTTTAACTGCACCCACCGCTGGTACCGCCTTAATCTTTGGGTACGATGTCAGGGATTCAAACGATATGCAGACTATCAGGAGCATGACGGGTGTTTGTCCTCAACATGACATTCTTTTCGATCTTCTCACACCTCGTGAACATCTCGAGTTTTTTGCTGCAGTTAGAGGAATACCAAGATCGATGGTGGAATTTGAGGTATACTAATGCACCACGTTGCATATGTGTCTCATCTTCATGTCAAGGAATGAAAAATAACCTGTTTGCGTTACCTGTTTTTCAGGTGAAGAAAACTCTAAAGGATATAGATTTGGTTGAAAAAGCAGACACCTTTGCGAAGTATTTAAGCGGTGGTCAGAAAAGAAAATTATCAGTGGGAATCGCCATTATTGGTGATCCCAAAATAATAATCTTAGATGAACCAACTGCTGGAGTTGATCCATACTCCAGAAGGCAAATGTGGTCGTTTCTTCAATCCAGAAGGCATGGTAAAGTTATCCTTCTGACCACGCATTTTATGGACGAAGCTGATATTTTAGCGGACCGAAAGGCAGTTATCAGCAAAGGCAAACTACGTTGCTGTGGCAGTTCATTATTTCTTAAAAATAAGTTTGGAATTGGTTACCATCTTACGTGAGTTTATCAAAAGAGTTGTCCTCTATTGCTAATTGGGTTTCAGTTCATCTAATTTGTACATTTTTAGGCTTGTACTCGAAGGCAACGGAAGGGAACATGCAATAACAAGACTCGTATCGTCTCATGTATCGAAAGCTGAAAAAGCGAGAAGACACGGAAGAGAATTGAGCTTTATTTTACCACATAATTCTGTCGAAAACTTCGCACCTCTATTTTCCGCCATCGAACAGGAGATCAAGACTAAAGCTAGTAGGCTTGGAATTAGTAGTTATGGAGTTTCGATGACTACTCTTGAAGAGGTGTTCTTACATCTGGAAAAGGACGAAGAAACCGAATGTACTATGGATAATTTGTCTAAAAAAATGGTTAGAAATCGCGCTCTGAGTAGGTCACTCTCTTTACAATCGAAAAGTACTTCATATCAAAGCCTGCAGAATGAAGGTGCTATCACCCAAAGCGACGGGCAAGTTAAAGGTAATGCAGTTTGTGTTTAGTTTAACAGTTTTTAATTCTTCCAGTTTGATATAATTAATTTGACAGGGTTATTTTGTTCTGGGTTAGGTGCTGGTGATTTGCCAGATGGAGTGCACAACGATAAGAACCCCATTATACTCGGCCTGGGCTTGGACCCCATAAAAACACGGCCTAACTTTGTTCAAACCCTTTACGCAATGCTTCGTTTGAGGGTATTAAGGCTGTGTAGAAATATTCAACTACTTTATTTCACCATTGTTGCTCCAATAGCCCTGGTCGTACTTGGACTTTATCTCAACAGTATTCAGACCGTCGATCTAAAGATGCAATCTCTTGAATTAAATAATGGTGAAAATAATTTCGATTGTTATTATGATGAACCCTTAAACTTGTACATTTTTAAACAACCATGTCGGTCCACAGATACATACGAAGGAGATACCAGAATTCTGTATGTTAATAACACGGATCGTGACATATCGCCTTTGATAAATTACGTTAGTACAGATGTGAAACACCTCGACGAATACGATGGAAACTTTACAAATCTATTACACGTTGCCCCGCACATGGCATCTATCAATATCAACGAGTACAATCCTTTACGTATGAACTTAACAATTATGTACAACGATACCATGCAGCATTCGCTTCCGATTCTGATTAACATTTTATCGAATGCCTACCACAGGTACAGAAATTGTTTATTAAGTATAACCAAGAAGAAAGCAAATACGCATTTATTATACTATGTACTCGTTATATTATTAGGTTGTCTCAAAAGTTTCTTTCGTAATCTGCACGTAGTTGTATTTGGTAGACGAAAGAAACTCTTGGGACAACCTAATAATTGGAAAGCACAATCGATATTTGCAGATCTTGCCTTTCTTTGTTTTTGATTTTTTGTAGATTTTACATTCAACACTATTTTAATACTAGCTTTTATCGTATAGGTTGCTCTCTGATTCGAGTGATGCTAGACCGATCGGCGTAAGAACTCATCCTTTCCAACAAACATCACAACCACAAGAATTTAATATCGGCATCGGTAGTTCGGCTTTATTTATAGGCATGGATTTCGTTTTAGTCCCTATAACATTGGCAGTCGACATTGTTTACGATCGAGAGGTAAATATATCTACTTTCTAAAGATTAACATAATCCACAATATTTAACGTATAATATATGACATCGTTTTTGACAGATTAAAGCAAAAGATCAACTTCGAGTTAACGGTTTATCATTTACGATGTATTTTTTAACCTACTTCATCGTTCTTCTTGGATTGATGGCATTTGTCAGTTTTTGTATTCTTGGCATTATCTTTCTTTTTGACGTACCGTCACTTCAAGAAATACCGGCATTAATGACTCTTGGTGGTCTTCTGATGCTTTATTGCCCGGCATCTATCCTCTTTTCGACTTGTCTCAGCTACATCTTCGATAAAATGGATTCTGCGCAGAGTATTCTGCCAAACATCGCAACTTTTTTCGGACTAATACCGTTTCTGCTAGTCATGATACTAGATATGTTGGGATTAAGTAAGTGAAAGCGTAATTAATTTGACAAAAAATCTTTTAGACAATATTTACAAATGATTTTGTTTCCCCGCAGGTGGAACAGCGGCATTTGCATTACACGTAGTTTTCTCTTTGTGCAACACTATGTATGTTCCATATGCAGCAGTTTATTATGTAGATCGCGTACACCTTATGTGTTCCATCAATGCCGCTTGCCATCATCTTACGATGTCGGACTACTTGACCACAGAGATCATTTTGATGGCTGTCGGTGTACTATTGCATTGTCCTTTGTGGTTCTTCGTGCTACTAGTGTTAGACATTAAAAAAAGCGGTGGAAATGTCAGTGATATCTTCAAATATTTCTTGGTAAGTGTTGACTCTAGGAAAAAAAATTAATTACATTAAAAAGTCAATAATTCATCGTACCATCACTTGTTTGAACACTGTATTAAATAATCATTGTAACTAAGTGTGTCCTTAGAAATTTGGCAATTAGGGATGTTTAATATGTATAAATGTTTTTATTTACTGAAAACAACATACAATTTTCTCAATTGAAACTATATTAAGTAGTATTAGAAGTGCTGCGTGAACCAGAGATAGTGATCATGATTAATTGATCGTGTATTCTGTTCAGCGAAATGGTGGTTCCATTGGGGAAGAAATTATGGAAAATACAGACGTTGGTGATCATGAAGATACGGATGTGAAAAATGAAAGGCAAAGAGTCTTTAACATCGTCACAACATCGTCTTTGCAGGAGCCTCCGGTTGTTTTGGTTCAAGTATGTTCTTGATATATAGCAAAATGATATTTATCCTTTTCATTTTAAATAATTCTTAGAAAACTACAAAATATTTAATTTTAAACACTCAACAGAAAATGATACGATCCTTTTTTTGTGTACTTTTTACATATGGTCATTGACTTGTTAAATGATGCTTTGATATTCCTTACAGAATTTAAGAAAGGAATATCGCCAGCGTGAAGCAGGATCCTGTGGTTGCTGCTCAAAACGCGAAGATGAAGCACCAGCGCCTAAATGCAAAGTTGCTGTACGAAATCTTTCGCTGGCTGTTGAGCCTGGAGAGGTATTCGGTCTGTTAGGACATAACGGTGCTGGCAAAACTACCACCATGAAAATCATAATCGCGGAGGAAGCAGCTTCGCGCGGCAGGGTGTTCATCGGCGGCCATAATGTCAATTCTCATGTAACGGAGATTTTCCGACTGATGGGCTACTGTCCTCAGCATGATGCCCAATGGAAGAATATCACCGTTAGAGAACATCTTGAATGTTATGCAGCAATACGAGGTGTTCCTTGGAGCGATATTAATAGGTAAGTAAGGGACATGTCGTTTTCTTGTCCACGATTGATCGAATGGTCTTAAAAGAATATCGTACATTGTTTCCCTAGGATCGTGGATCTGTACTTAACGGGCCTGCAGATCCATGAACATGCCGATAAACAGACTCAAGAATGCTCGGGTGGGACTCGAAGAAAGTTGAGCTTCGCAATGGCCATGGTCGGTGGGCCCAAAGTGGTTCTGATGGATGAACCTAGCACGGGCATGGATCCTCGGTCTAAGAGATTCCTCTGGGATACTATCCTGGCGAGTTTTCAAGTAAGTTACTAAGTTTGAAAATCTCAATACATTTAAATTGCACAAATATCTTATGAAATATGTCTTGTAATAAAAGGAGTTAAATGCAGTCCATAAACGTGTAGTAGGTTACAAAAATCACATTATCTTGCTGTCGTGGTTGCACTATCATTAATGAATCTTGTACATTACATGCTTCGCTGTGATAGAGACATGATATCAAAATGAACGTTTTTAATGAGCAGCGGTCTTCTCAGGGCGGTAGGGGCGCTATACTAACGACCCATTCAATGGAGGAAGCAGACGCACTATGCTCCAGAGTTGGCATAATGGTTAAAGGAGAGTTGCGGTGTATCGGCTCGACGCAACATCTCAAAAATTTGTACGGTGCGGGTTACACCCTAGAGATGAAATTATTGGGCGGCGATTGCACGCCTACTACTCCGTCCGGAGACCGGATATCTGGGCTCAAAGAATTTGTAGCGAGCATGTTTCCGGACGCGACGCTTGAAGAGAGTTTTGCTGACCGACTTGTCTTCGCGGTTCCACAACACTCTGTGCATTCGCTGGCCGAATGTTTCACGCAGTTGGAGAAAGGTACGGTAATACAAAGATCGTTTGGATTACATGAATTCTTATACAACTGATTTTTACCAATTAATTTCATTATTTTATAAATGTTAAATGCACACGAAATATAAAAATGACGTAAAACGTGTTCTGAAACCTTAACATGGATTTAAGTTAAAAACGTTAAGTTAATTAAATTTATTGGTGTCTTTCGTTATTCGGTTTTATTGATTTGAAACGTTTATTTTTTGTGTTCGCAGCCAAATTGGAACTAGACATTGAGGAGTATAGTTTCAGCCAGACCACTTTGGAGCAAGTATTTCTGAAGTTCTCTCACTATGACGAAGTGAATGGTGGTGAATGATGGCCCGGAAGTGCTAGCCCCTAAAGAGTTAACATATTTACACACGATTTATTCCATTCCAATGGACTTGTGAGGAAGTTACTCTTTTCGGTATGAAAAATACAAGAAAACGGAAAGCGAGATACGAAAAACGGTGTATACGTATACAGGAGTGAGAACGACGGGCCTCCTCCGCGATCGCGGTTAGTGGGTGCGTGTACGGGTCAGGGACCATACAGGAGAAGTGTGTTCTAACAATACTTAAGGAATTTATAATAACTAGTATTGCCATCATTACTAATATCGATTGTTACTAGGAAGACAATTAAACAGCTCACCGATGTTTTGTCTATCCGAACGTGCGAGCCACAATTCTGTACTTCGAGTCCCGAATGTCTCTCGAGTTACGGAATTGAAAGCTCGGTCGAAGTATCGAGGATCGTATAATCGTATAATCGAGCAAGTACTCGCGGCCTTGATTACAGCTGTTCGTCGTGAGCTCTTTTCGAAGAAAACATAGCCCACTTTCTGGTTTGCAGAAGGGAGAAGAAACTTTATGGTGCGAATCTTACATGAACTCGTAACGGGCCTGCGCGAGTCGCGTACATCTTTTTTTATATATTATTAATCTAGGTTTTATTTATACGTCATTATAAATAGATATACATATATATCTATTATTGTGTAAATAGCTCCAATGGTTTATGCATTGTTATCGAAATACAAAATTATGCTCGAGATTATCTAGAGACTTCAACTGTCGAGACGTTGACCCAAATATCGCTGCGGTAATTCACGATCGATTTGTCTCTGTTAATGAAATTCTTTCCCTGCGATTGCTGCGGGAAATTTCGGATGAAACTCTTTTTGAGATCGTAGCAAAAGTCATCGTAATTTCAGTCAGTCCCTTTTGACAGAATTTCCCCAGAATATACTGATACATTGTTAATAATATTCAACTTCTTTGTTTTTTTAGAACACAATTCAATTTGTATGAAAATTTAAACGTATTATCTTGATAATTTCAGTGAACTATGGGCAAATGTTATGTGAACTAATAGATGCATTTTCTTGTCTTGTCTCATTGCTAATGATATTTCTTGAAAATATCCGGCGAGATGGTTGCAATAGATTGCTGAGATCCATTACAGCCATTTTGTAATTCAACAAAATGGTATATTTAGTATAACAAGCATCATCTTTGATAAAAGAATACGATGATTCACTTATATATAACGAGACTGAAGTTTAAAACATTACTTTCTGATGTGTACAGTCAACCACATCGCATGAAGTTAAAACTATTTTGGTTTACAGAATAGCAGTCTTCTAGTAGCGCGATAACGTAGCTTTGAATGCGACGAAAATGAATTTAAAGAAATGCGTTTAACGGATAATTCGAATTTCCTTCATAAACGCATATTTGTAACGAATGAGATAGAAAAAGTAGTACAGAAATACTTCGTATAAAATATCATTCTCTACAGATTTCAGAACTCAGTCCATTGATCATTCGTTAGTGTCGAAACTTTAGCGTTAATAAGGATTCGTGTTTTTAAAGAGAGAGACAGAAAGCGACGTTTAGTATTGCTTATTGTGAATGGCTTTATATATAATCGCGTGCGAAAGGAGTTCGATGAATATTCTATAGAAAGATTAATACCTTTGCACGATCGGCTTAATTTAATATCAGGCAATTTCCAATCGCCGAGCATCACTGGAATATGATGATACGTATCTTGAGGACGTCGATACGTCGTGTAATAGAGATTAAGTAAGTTAAAGTTCTTTAATTAAAACCCGTACAGATAAGTAGTGACAAGAAAAATGAGCATTAATACAGACCCCCTTTAACCTCGCTTCATGATTACATCTTATGAGCATACAAAAGACACCGGTAGATCACTAATCGCATCTTTTCGTTAAGTGAAAAATTACATAACTGTTATTAAATGGGATAAAATGAACGCAGAATCGACAATTTGACAATATTAACACTTTCGCTACGACTTGACTGGTCGTTAGTATACTGTTGTTGAACAGGATTACGTGTCGTAATGTGTCCATTTATTCCGCGAAGAGTCAGATGATCAGTTTGCCTTAAACACAATTGCTTTCAGAAAATTAAACATAAACATATATGTAGTGGATGAAAGATGTTTATTTATTTAAAATCATAGCTACATCATCGGACGGCTATAATTATCAATAAGTTTAAAGAGCGTTTCATGAGGAGTGAACATGAATAGTTCTTCGTGGTACATAAACCATCTTTTGGGGAGGGCGGCCATAGTCACTTGTAGTAGCAAAAGGGTTAAAATTGTGTCTGTTGATCTTCAGAATTGTATTGCTTGTAAGGTGAACATGTTGCAGGGACAGTTGTGTAAGCTATGGACGATATAAGGCAAATAGGAAGAGAAATGTAATGTCGTTTATACAGTTCTCGAACTAAATACTTTATGTTAAACATTTACAATTCAGGTCTTTAGCTATTTCCGTTAACATTTACACGACAGAAACAGCTGATTATCTGAATTTAACGGAACGTAATACACCAATTTTAGAAATAAGAAGGAATAAAACGGAATAAGTACATTTGAATGTAGAGTTATCAAATTTGATATATTATTAATTCAAGTTATTACTAATAGCGTGGTCTGATTGCTTTCCATACAAGTCAACGTGTCATGGTAATAAAAAATGATTGATGATTCACAGGCTAAGAAATAAAATATAACATTTTGGGGAACTTTGGTTGAGTGCATATTACATTTTGTAAATATCGTATCCCAGAGTATTCATTGTAATTTGAGCGACGTAATTACATAGAGATTACAATTTCGTATCAAGTGCAGCGATCCTTGGCAACAGTTGTGCGAAGTTAAATATGTAAATAATAACTTGTGGGCCTGATGCATGCCGGAAAGCATCGCAAAGCAAGAACTCGTGAAATTTTAGAGATTTTAAAATGCACCCAAAAGTATATATAAAGGATGACTTTTTTGTGTAATTGAAGTACAGTGCTTGTGAAAATTTATCTGGCCGTTTAATTCTTAGTGTTACAACGTAATTTAGAGTTGAACGGCAAATGATGCTGCTGGAGGACTGAATGAAATATTTTGTAGGTAATTAATTAGGTAGCAAAATTTCAGACTTTGTCATAAAAGAATCGGTTTTGTAAATATAATGTTACCGAAATAAAATGTTGATATATATATATTATATATATATAAACTTAGGTACGTTCGCGTACTTCTGTACGCATTTAGGGATTATGTGCCCGCAATTCTCTCTAGCGAATATTGTAACTTAAGATATAGTCAATTACGGAATTCCGCGGAAACTGCAAAGGGATTTTATGGAACTGTATACCATGTTCTTTTTAAAGCAGATTACCGTAATACATATGGCAATTGTGATGATAATAATAATACTTATTATTATTGTATTTGTACGCATATGTAATTATAATTGAAAGCACTGTGAATTTTGCTATGTTGCATCATATGGTACAGTTATTTTAATTCGCTTAATTGTATTTATGAAGCGTTGATTTACAATGAGTAATCTTTATTCAATTTAAAAATAAAATGAAAATAATTCCTTAATAAGAAACGAAGTCAGCGGTAAATATTATTGCATCGTTTCATTAGTTCAAGAATTTTTTCTCTTGACGATTGCACTCGCGGTATGCTCAATGCATCCGACAAAAGCAAGTACTTTCAATCTAAGCACCACCGGAAATTTAGTGAAAATCTGTTGTGTATTCCTGCCGAAGCAAGTGTAATAAGTTGTTTAATGAAAGCTTTTCCACGAATAAAATTAGTTAAACATTGAACTTGACTAGCGGTCTACTTTCGGCTTGGTGGTATTCAATGGGTTAAAAAAAAGTATTAAGCGTTTCGTCCATATATGTATCACGAGTACTTCAACCTAATCGGGCTTCTGAACTTCTATGCAATTCTCTCAAACTTGTTCTAGTACTCTCTAGTCCCAGGAGATACTACTTCCTCGAGTCGCAACTGTGCTTCATTAACACTCAACCGAGCTTAATGAAGTCTCATTGAGTTCTACCGATGACCAGAGCTTCTTCAAGTTCATACCTGGGGCCCGGCAACTCGGATTAAGTTTCCGAGCCACAGTCATGACTCTAAAGCTTCTTCGTCACCGAGGAACATTTTGCGGTTTTGACCTTTTAGATCCCATTTAACCTTTTCGACCTTACTCAAATTTCATTCAATTTCTCCAAAGCTTTTTTAATCGAGAAATTATGAAAATGTAAATTTTGACGACAGAGCGAACGAGAGGTTCCATTAGCTATAGAGAAACATCGGCGAGGGGGAATTTCCGTCGCACGTTTCTTTGTAGCCAACAACAAATCTTATATTCTCTTCATCGCGCGACCCCGTCGGAAGAATGAAATATCGACTTGTTTTAAAACAGATCGCATGGAATTTCAAGTGAAGTTGGACATACGTGAATATTTTTAGCTGGAAGTAAATAAGACCCTATAATCAATATTTTCTAATAGTATTTATTATTCTTCGGCTTGAACTTTGAAGTGCATCGGAAAGAAGTGTTATTTAAACAAAATAACCTACAAGTATAAATAAAAAATTAATGTTCTCATAAAGTCTCGATATTCACGGTAACTTACGGTATGTTTCAAAGTTACCGTCTCCAATTATATTATATCGTGAATTTTTAAACTCTTGGGCAGGTCGTATGATCGCGTACTGAACTGCTCTAGTTGGAGAATGCGAGAGGTTCGTGCACTTGTTAACGTTAACTTTTAATAAAACATGTTTTAATATATTCTTTAAGAAATTCTGTAAATAATCATTTAACCAAAACTACGTTAACTGACTTAGGGACACTTCACAATAATATTTAAATAATTTTCATTAATTATTTTCTTTATAAACATTTATTTTCTTTAGCAAATCCATTCTGCCCCTTGGGCGATTCAAATTCCACGCTACTCCCGCCGCTAATACGCCGCGCAGCCGGAGAGGGCAGTAGGTCCGCGAGGTAACCATCGATGAATGCCAGTGTGTGTACGAGTCGCCTGCATTCTCCAAGGAGGGCTGCGATAGAACGCGACGCGCAACCCTGCTCGTGAGCGATCGTCCAACTCATCTCCGATTGATATTAATGAGGATGTATATACAGAGATGAGTTGGGAGATTGCTTACGGGCATGATGGTGCGATCACATCCTGTCCTGCCCTCTGGTTTCGTACGTTAGCTTTCACCGTTTTTCGCCCCCAAGGGCGGCGCAACGAATTTCTGATAGGAGCTTGCATACTCGCGATGGCGGTACATCTACCAGTCGCCGTTAGCGGCTCACGTACTCGTGATGGTAATACCATGCGGCAGTTGCCGGTGGTGGCTTACCTACGCTTACCGACACTGCTCGCTTTTGATGGTAAGGGAAGAACACTCGTGACGCTCCATTTGACTTTGTCTACTTATCTACTACTATTAAGTACATTGTTGCCACGAAGTCGACGTGATGCGGAGCTTTGGGGCACGCGTCGGTGTCGCGTACGGAACTCTCATGCAGCGAATCTGCGTGAGTGCGATCGCTCCTAGAAATCTTCGCGCGTCCCAACCAGCCAAGCGCCAAGCTACGGGTCGAGACGTTGAGTATGTGTGCGTTCGGCGCTACACTCGACGAGTATGCGTGAGAGTCGAATACTGCGAAAAATCCTCCCGAGGCTTACCTAACTGCGGATATAAGCCGAGTCATTTCGCGTATGATTTTTACATTTCCCTACTAGCGTTATCGAGCGTTTTTAGACCGTTTTTTAGCGATACCGAGCGTTTTTCAACCGTTTTCGAGTGTCTCTAGAGCGTTTTCACGCGTTTTTCGAGCATTATCGAGCGTTCCTCTAGCGTTTTCGAGCGTTATCGATCGTTTACGCGCGTTTCTCAAGTGTTTTAGAGCATTATCGAAGGCCGTACAGGGCCGTTGCGTGTTGTTAAGTGCAGTAGAGTGCCGAAGAGTTGCCGGAGAGTGCCGGAGAGTGACGGAGAGTGCCGGAGAGTGTCAGAGAGTGTCAGAGAGTGCAGGAGAGTGCCGGAGAGTGCCGGAGAGTGCCGGAGAGTGCCGGTGAGTGCCTCAGAGTGCTGCAGAGCGCCGCAGAGCGCCGGAAAGCGGCCGGAGAGTGCCGGAGAGCGCCGCAGAGTGCCAGAGGTTTGCCGGAGAGTGCCGGAGAGTGCTGGAGAGTGCCGGAGCGTTGCCGCAGAGGGCCGGAGAGTGCCGGAGGGCGGCCGGATGGTTGCCGGAGAGTGCCGGAGGGCGGCCGGAGAGTGCCGGAGAGTCCCGGAGAGTGCCGGAGAGTGCCGGAGAGTGCCGGAGAGTGCCGGTGAGTGCCTCAGAGTGCTGCAGAGCACCGCAGAGCGCCGGAGGGCGGCCGGAGAGTGCCGGAGAGTGCCGAAGAGTGCCGGAGAGTGCCGGAGAGTGCCGGAGAGTGCCGGAGAGTTGCCGCAGAGTGCCGGTGAGTGCCTCAGAGTGCTGCAGAGCGCCGCAGAGCGCCGCAGAGCGGCCGGAGAGTGCCGGAGAATGCCGGAGAGTGCCGCAGAATGCCGGAGAGTGCCGGAGAGTGCTGGAGAGTGCCGGAGCGTTGCCGCAGAGGGCCGGAGAGTGCCGGAGGGCGGCCGGAGGGTTGCCGGAGAGTGCCGGAGAGTGTCGGAAAGTGTCGGAAAGTGTCGGAAAGTGTCGGAGAGCGGCCGGAGAGTGCCGGAGAGTGCTGGAGAGTGCCGGAGAGTGCCGCAGAGTGCCGGAGAGCGGCCGGAGAGTGCCGGAGAGTCCCGGAGAGTGCCGCAGAGTGCCGGAGGGTTGCCGGAGAGTGCCGTATGGTGCCGTAGAGTGCGATAGAGTGCCCTAGAGTGCCGTAGTACTCTAACTAGAGTGCATTGATTACCACTGTAATCAGAGTACCTATTTTAGAGGGCCGTTATTACTACCTATCTAACCTAACCTAACCTATCCTAACCTAACCTGACCTACCTGACCTAACCTAACCTGACCTACCTGACGTAACCTAACCTGACCTACCTGACCTAACCTAACCTGACCTACCTGACCTAACCTAACCTGACCTACCTGACCCAACTTAACCTAACCTGACATACCTGTCCTAACCTAACCTAACATCACCTACCTGATCTAACCTAACCTGACCTACCTGACATGACCTAACCTGACCTACCTGACCTAACCTGACCTGACGTGACGGGACTTAACCTAACCTGACCTAACCTAACAAAGGCACTTTGTTTAGAGTTCTAATCGAGGCACTCTAATGCACTATAATGCATTATAATGAACTCTACGGCATTCCACGGTACTCTACGGCACTCTACGCAACTCTAGGGCACTTCAGGGTACTTTAGGGCACTCTAGGGCACGCTAGGGCACTTTACGGCACTCCACGGCACTCTACAGTATTATAAGGCACTCTGCGGCACACTGCGGCATTCTCCGGCAACTCTCCGGCACTCTCCGGCACTCTGTGGCCACTCCCCAGCACTCTCCGGCACTCTCCGGCACTCTCCGGCACTCTGCGGCACTCTGCGGCACTCTCCGACACTATGCGGCAACTCTGCGGCCCTCTCCGATTCTCTCCAGCACTCTGCGGCACACTGCGGCAACTCTCCGGGACTCCCCCGCACTCTCCGACACTCTCCGGGAACTCTCCGGCACTCTCCGGCAACTTTCCGGAATTCTCTGGGACTCTCCGACACTCTGCGGCATACCTCGACACTCTCCGCCACTATGCTGCAACTCTCCGGCACTCTCCGGTACTCTCCGTCAATTTCCGGCAATTTCCGGCACTCTCCGGCAACTCTATGGCACTCTGCGGCACTCTCCGGCACTCTGCGGCACTCTCCGGGATTCTTCGGGACCCTCCGGCGACTCTGCGGCACGCTCCGGCACTCCGCAGCACTCTGCGGCACTCTCTGGCAATCGCTGGCAACTCTCCGGCACTCTCCGGCAACTCTGCTGCACTCTCCGGCACTCTCCGTCAATTTCCGGCAATTTCCGGCACTCCTCGGCAACTCTATGGCACTTTGCGGCACTCTCCGGCACTCTGCGGCACTCCTCGGCAACTCTGTGGCACTCTGCGGCACTCTCCGGCACTCTGCGGCACTCTCCGGGATTCTTCGGGACCCTCCGGCACTCTGCGGCAACTCTCCGGCATTCTCCGGGACACTCCGGCACTCTGCGGCATCTCTCCGTCACTCTCCGGCAACTTTCCGGCACTCTGCGGCACTCTCCGGCACTCTGCGACACTCTGCGGCCCTCTGCGAAACCCTGCGGCATTATCCGGCATTCTGCGGCAACTCTCCGGCTCTCTGCGGCACTCTGCGGCACTCTCCGGCACTCTGCGGCACTCTCCGAGATTCTTCGGGACTCTCCGGCGACTCTGCGGCACGCTCCGGCACTCTGCTACCCTCTGCGGAACTCTGCGGAACACTGCGGCAAATCTCTGGCATTTTCCGGGACACTCCGGCAACTCTCCGGCAAACTTCGGCAAGTTTCCGGCACTCTCCGGCAACTCTCCAGCACTCTCCGGCACTCTCCGGCACTCTGCGGCCCTCTGCGAAACCCTGCGGAATTTTCCGGCACTCTGCGGCACTCTGCGGCACTCCGTGGCACTCCGCGGCACTCTCCGGCACTTTCTGGCATTCTACTGCACTTAACCACACGCAACCGCACTGTACGGCCTTCGATAAAGCTCGAAAACACTTGATAAACGCGCGAAAACGATCGATAACGCTCGAAAACGCTCGGAAAACGCTCCATAACCCTCCAAAAGACGCTAAAAACGCTCGAGGACACTGAAAACATTCGAAAACGGTTGAAAAACGCTCGGTAACCCTATAAAACAGTCTAAAAACGCTCGAAACCGCTCTGAAAATGATCGAGAAACGCTCGAAAACGGTCGAAAAACGCTCGAAAACGCTCTGAAAATTATCGAGAAACACTCGAAAACAGTCGAAAAACGCTCGATAATGCTCGAAAACACTCGAAAACGCTCGATAACGCTAGTAGGGAAATGTAAAAAAAAATCATACGCGAAATAACTCGGCTTATATCCGGGGTTAGGTAAGCCTCGGGAGGATTTTCGCAGTATTCGACTCTTACGCATCCTCGTCGTGTGTAGCGCCGAACGCACACATACTCAACGTCTGGACCCGTAGCTTGGCGCTTGGCTGGTTGGGACGCGCTAAGATTTCTAGGAGCGATCGTACTCACACAGATTCTCTGCATGAGTGTTCCGTATGCGACGCCGACGCGTGCCCCAAAGCTCCGCATCACGTCGACTTCGAGGCAACAATGTACTTAATAGTAGTAGATAAGTAGACAAAGTCAAATGGAGCGTCACGAGTGTTCTTCCCTTACCATCAAAAGCGAGCAGTGTCGGTAAGCGTAGGTAAGCCACCACCGTCAACTGCCGCATGGTATTACCATCACGAGTACGTGAGCCGCCAACGGTGACTGGTAGATGGTACCGCCATCACGAGTGCGCGAGCTCCTATCAGAAATTCGTTGCGTCGCCCTTGGGGGCAAATAACGGTGAAAGCTAACGTACGAAACCAGAGGGCAGCGCAGGATTCGATCACACGATCCTGCGCGTGAGCAATCTCCCAACTCACCTCTGGTACATACATATACACATTTGCACAGGTTTTCTGCTTAATTTATTATTCTTTAAAAATATTTCTGTGTTTACACTCGTGCTAAAAGACGTTTATAACTTAGTGGATGCCGCATATCGTGAATCTACATTATCCTTCATATTGCAAGCGTTATTTATTGGTTTTCTACGATTTTCTGCGGTAAACTACTTGGTTTACGTAATATACGTCCAAAACCTCGAGAACCGCGAAATTGCCCAACTCTGTCGATATCTGTTGTTATGAATTCGCGAATAAGCCTAAGGCAGACTTAAGACCGCGGTGTAATCGATTTCATGGATTTTAAATACATTGTGACCACTAGAGTCGCTGCGATCGATCTAAGTATGTAACCTCTAAAGCGCCACTAGCGCTAACGGATATTACTTGTATTGGGTAGAGATGAATCATGAGAAAAAAAGCGTAAGTAATCTTTCTCTATCTCTCTCTGACATCCAAGAGCATATATCTCTACACTAGCTTAGGCTGGGCCTCGACTAAACTAGTACTAGTACTGGCTGTTACTAATCACCGTCAGTCCATAAGTAGTAGTGTGTCTCTCGATTTATTCGTCATTTAATTAACCACTGACTATCTTCTAACGGGAGTATTAGTGCCGGTTGACGAAAAGTAGATCGATTAACAATGGTCGTCAAGGTCTACATATCGGGAATCAGCGGCAATAAGGAAGTGAGTGCTGAGTTGTCGAATTCTGCAGTATCGGAGTATAGAGACAGTCGAACAGAACAGGCCTTGGCCAATGCCAATCCTTGTCGGATAATAATTCTGATGACACGTCTAACGAGAATGTACCGTGCATTTGAACCATTATTCACAAAATAGTATAATTAATTCTTTGTATTTTTGGTAAATATATTTTTGAGCTAAATGTACCTTTTCGTACATTTTTTAAAATTATTGTATTGGCATTGAGTTTAGGTCCTTATTTTATGTAAATTAATTGTTCGTGAAAAGACAAAACTGTTTAAATCATGTTATGGTAAATCTATGGAATATTATTTGATAGTCCCTTATATATTGGTGTTTGAAAGAACAGACTTTGTCAGGGTTAATTTTGGCAGGGTAATTATTATTATGACACATCATGTTGCGATCTTGACTGTGATTATATTATAATTGCTATAAGTTAATCGAACTAACGAAATTTGAACATTGTTGTTACGACAGTAAAGTGAAGGTACTAAATGAGATATATGAGTGGAAATATGAAAAATTAAGTAAACGGCTTCGTTTGAGAAATTACATACATTTAAATTAATCTTGGAACAATGAGCTAAATTATTGATACTAAATCCTCTCCGATTCTCTCCAGCACTCTGCGGCACACTGCGGCAACTCTCCGGGACTCCCCCGCACTCTCCGACACTCTCCGGGAACTCTCCGGCACTCTNTAATTTTACTAGTGCTTATAAGAAGATCAAAATTCCGATTATTAGATAATTTAATATTCAATGTCAAAGTCTTAAATACTTCCTTTAATTGTGATATCATTGTGGTAGTAATACTTCAAGATTCTAAGAATATTAAACTTATAGTAGTAAATTAAAATGTTAACATAAAATTATGGCACATGTAAATATCTCATGCATTACAATGTGGTAATCGTAAGAATACTACAGTTTGACAGAATAAGTCTTGGCAGAATGCTAATTCTTAGGACACTTTATAATGCATACATGTATACATGATATATACTGAAATAGACTGATCCATTACCAATATCGTTATTTAGCATAAAACCTAAGTAATAGTAAATTGCAAAATCCTTGATGATGATGTGGTTAGAAAATGAATAGGACCATTTTAATGATTTTTTAAATGTACAATAAGGAAAATCAATTCGTCTGGGCTACAGGTTTGCACCATCCATTAGAGTACTGTGCCAATAAATTCAGATTAATAATATAGATATTATTGAAGCATTTCATGTCATGCTTTGTCAACATCGGTTTATCTTTTGGAACTATTTTAAGAATTATACATATGAACTAATTTGTATTTATAAACAGAGTATTTTGGTATCTCCTTATATATTTGCATTAATGGGAACATCAGAAATGGATTCAAAATAAATCATAAAATGAAATTACAGGTGAAGAAAAGGCAACAGCGAGTTTTGATGATTTTAGAAAGCAAAAATATTGAATACACAACAATAGATATTACAGAGCCTGGTAGGGAAGCAGACAAGGAATTCATGCAGACTAAGGGGACAGTTAGGGATAGCAAATATCCTCTACCCCCACAAATATTTAATGAAGATGAATACTGTGGGGTAAATTATATAACTAATAAAGGTTTCTTTGTTATGGAGTATATGGTGTTTAACTTCGGTAATAGTATTATTTATTCATGAAATGCTACAGTAATCAACAGGTAGCGGTCTTATGGTTTGCAGGATTATGAAGATTTTGATTTGGCAAATGAAATTGATGAATTAGAAAAGTTTCTCAAAGTTACACCTGCAGTCAGCACAGCAGAAATCACATTTGAAAATAAATCGGAATCAGAAGATATTCAGCAAAATGGAAATACTTCAAGTCGGGAGGCAAGTATTTTGAAATTTTTTAAAAATGTGACACGAGAAAAGTTTACTTTAAAAACTTATTAAGCTTATAGGTATATTATGATTTAAAATATTTATATTCTTATATTACAATGTTTTTGGTTTTATTTTCTAAATTTATATATTTTTAAATCATATTTTTTATATTTCATGTTACAGCCCTCTTCTGATAAGGATGCTGCCACTACTCAAGGGGAAAGGTAAAATAAAAATATTAAATGTTTTTATATTAATTCGAAGAAACAATTAAACCTTGCACTAATTATATTCATTGACTTCAATAGCATCGATGAGAGAACATCTTTAGCAGACAAAGGGGATAACTCGGAAAGTCGTAATTCTATGGAACATGAAAGTGAATCAAAAGACAGATCAGAAACAGGTAGTGAGCAAATGGAAGACAGTGGTGATAAAAACGAGGAAAAATCTGACGATCAAGAAAAAGAAGAATAGATAAGTCACAAATGCAGGAAAAGATATTACATGAATAAGTTTATAAGAACTCATATACTTACTTCCAAGTGTTTTTGCAGAATGATAGTTGTTACGCATATAAGGCTGAAGAAAGGTACTGCCATAATTACACTAGGGGAAAGTGTTATACCAAGATTGTAGTGTACCTTGAGCCAATATAAATACTTTTAATGTATTACCACCTATCGTGCTGCTGCCAAAATATTTCTTTCCCAATAATGTAATTGACTATTTATAATAGTTTCAATTTATTTTCATATAGAAAACGAGTGCTTTAAAAAATGTTTTTAATGAAAAAATAAACTTTCAGTTTTGAATTAAGGGTGATTTTTATTTAATAACTATGCAAAGATTATTTTATGGACAACTGTTTGATTCTCCATTATTTGCCAAGTGAAATGAAAAGGTCTATTAGCTGATCAACTCTGCAACTTTTCTGTTATGCTAAATTCAGTTATTTCATTCTACATATATTTGTAAGCAATTAAGTGAGTAAATGTTTTTGAAGTTATGGGTTCAGAAATAAATTATTTTATTTACATTGAATCACCCCTTTTAATTATGGTCCAAGGTACACGAAAAATTGTACCATGGTCTGTTGTGCACTATATACTTTCCTTCTTTGCATATCTTTTTTTGAACTGAGTTTTCAGTTTAACCCCAAAATAAGTATATCACAACGATACTGAAGTATTGACTGAAAAGATATAACAATAATTAAAAATCTAGCCCAAGGTACAACACTTTCCCCTACTTACTTTACAACGTATGCAAGATATGTGGCGCCATTTCAAGTATAGGATACTTTTTCATCAATTTGTGATGTAAGAGCAGAACTCATTTTATATTTAATTAGCAGTTGAGATTCTTTCGATTATTTAGATGATTATGCACTTCGCTAAGTAAAGGAGACTTTGTACATTTAATTTTTTAAAGCTTAATTATTACAGCTTGTAAATTACATTTCTCTATCACATTATGAATCAATTTTTGGTTGTCACAAATTAGTCTGTATTAATTATCACATGCGATTATAGAGATGTTGATTTGTATCTAAGAAGCTGCGGACCTATACGAAAAACAATTATGCTGAGCAGTCTGAGCATGTATTCTAGATAGTTTTTGTTTTTAATCATTGCCTATAAAATGGTAATCCATCATACAATTATAATTTCTTAAATAATATCATTATTTATAATTTCTCGAGGATCAGGCAGTCATGCTAACTCAGCTGCTCGGTATTTAAAAATATGGCAAATGCGCCAAGAGAGAATTTGGTGAAATGTCCGATCTCGTTTCCGTATACCAGTCTTCCTTTTGAATACGGAATTTTTCTTAAACGAAATCCCTCTGACTCTAACACTGTTTGTACTTTTATCGATTTAACTTTTGTTATTTTCGCTTTTCACAGATAGGAAACAATCAAAGCGTGACATCGAACCATTAATTTTTATAGTAGTAAACTTTTAGAGTTTACATAGTTTCAAAGTATTTCATTGAAAAGGGACTTTGGCATAGAAATGCCCCCGCAGGGGTCAGTAGTTCGCAAATAAGGAGTCAACAACAGTTATATAAAATAAATACATTTATTGGCTAATCAACAATTTTAACGTAAGTACAGTAAAGTAAAACAAGTAAGATTAGATGTTTTTATATCAAATTCGAATGGCTATAAACAGTATCGTTATTTGCTAAGCACAACGTTATTTCAAGTGTAATGTAGCACAGAAAATCGTTCGATTACTGCATCGCACTTAGTATACATATTTAATTAATTTCGAAGTACATGAGCGATTTTTTTTTTTGATAAGGGAAAAGTAAGATTAGGAACCTTTCGTAATATAAACGCTTACGAGTTACCGTGCCGATATTAATGAGGGTTGGTTAGGAGGATGGTACTGTTGAAAATAAGCTGTATTTTTAAAGCAGTTATAAGTACAGTGACTAACATTACGACTTTATTTGATCCACATGTTACGTTTTTACAGATGGTTTGTCTGTATTAAAATTCGCATACTGTTTCGGTTTCTAATCGAAGAATAAGTACAATAAGAATATTTTGATGTCATGCTTTGTTATTATACGTATATTTAAATTGAGGATATCGCCTAGTTCTGTGAACTGTCTCGTACAATACTCCTGCTCTTGACTAATATATATGCTCCATAGGAAGGTATTTTATTTTTAAATATAATCACTGCATTTTCATATTATATGTATCCCATTATATTTATAATTCGTTCGCTTATCGCTTGCTAGGGACCTAAAATTGAAACACAGAGGTATTCTGTGTATATGTATTAATTCAGAAAGCGACTTAAATTTCTTGTCTTTTTTTGTAAATGTATAATAAATCCCGTTAAATGAGACAAATACTTAGCTTGATTCGAAACAACGTTAAATATATTTATATCGCGTACGACGGGGAAACGAATACCTTTTGTCAGCTTAAGTACTTTATGTGTTTCATTTGAAACACATTTTAAACCCTGTGAGTGATTCAAATGTATAATTAAATACAAATTAAATACGTTGATTACTGGAACACGAAGCTGTACAATATTAATTAATAGTTGTTAGATATTAATGTTACATTAAATAAATCTTAATACATTGAAATATTTGAAAATACATGGATAATTTCATTATACATTTGATATGTATGCGATATAAGGATTATTGTTATATACATATATGGATTTACTAATAAATACATTGAAATAAATTATACAAAACAATTCAACTGTTACAAAGAATTTGATATTTCACTTATACTTTTTGGAACACAGTCGAGTACACGTTAAATTTCAACAGAACTTATGTATAATGTTATTCATTTTATGAAGAAAATACAAGGCTGGTTTATGAGTAATTTCAAGTACTTTGTTATTTTTTAATCAATAAAGCAGCAGGAATATGATAAACGATGCAATTTACCAATGTATTCAATATACTACTTCGTAGACATTTAATATCTATTCTTGTTATGGTCTAGTAAAGTATGTAAATACCAAAATATTTTTGTGCTCCTAGCTGTTGATCAATTTATTATCATTGACATAAGATTTAGTTATCGCTATAAGTTTTGTAATTGCACAGATTATATTTTTGGAGGCGAAGTCATATTTCAAAGAATACGCACATCTTGGTAGAGCAAGAATGTTGCAAATATCAAATAATCATACTCAATTTGTTTTTCAAATGCAACTTTTAAAGTAGCAGTAAAGCCGGAAGTATCATGGATAAGAGGTATGCGAAATGTTTCTAGTGCATTTGTAACAAAATGTAACATAAATTTTGTAAATAACTTTAAGTTGTGGGATGTAGTACTTGATTGTAGTCTGTATCATCTCTCATCTGTAGATCTGTCAGGGTACTGATTATTTTTTCCAAAATTAGGATACTACGAAATTGAGAAACAAAAATTTTAGTTGTTATATAATAAGATTGTATCATAAAAAGCGCAAAGAAATACGTTTTCGAATTTGACAGGAATACCTATCAAAATAGGTGTTTCATACTTCTTTGCCATATGTCCATCGTGCATCTTTACTTTTTCTCATAACATTAATTGTTAAAACTTCAAGGCTATATAATGTTTTTATCACAATAGCTTCCACTTATGCCTGTCGGTCCCATTACACCGCAATACGTACTGCCTGGAAACAAGTGCGAAAGTGTTTTTGGTGATTTCATGCCTTACATTTATTTAACATGATGTTGCTATAAATCTTCAAATAATTAGTGTAGCAAATAATGGTTAACAAAATATTCTAGGCTTTCGTTTTTTGTTCTATCCATGGCAAATTAAAGAAACAAAACAATATTGTTTTTTTAAATATTTGGCTGCAATATTTACTTGCACTTGTACTTTAAACATTTTGAACATTAATTGTAAAATAGAAATAAAATGTTGAAATCGACAATTAACATACATGTTCAGCTGGATTCAAAATTTTTAATTGTATTTAGATATACATGATAAATCGATTTTAGTCAAGTAGCGATAAACAATTTTATAAAATATGTTCCATAAATAATGAACAGAACGTTTGTCAAATTATAATATCCTTTCCACAGGGTCACACTAATTTTGAGAAAAGGGGGAAGAAAGGAAAAAATTCTTTCACTGTAATGTAATTATAAGTCGGTATTACTTGTTTTAAGTTTTTATATCTTTATAGATATTGCAGGAGCATTATCGACCAGCTTGAAAATATTTTTAATTAGTACTCGCCACATGCATAATGCGGTTCGAGTAGTTTTGTTTACGAAGTTGACGTACTTTTGGTAGGTCTTATATACACAGAAATAGCCACCACCTCTGTATTGATTATTCAAGATTGTAAATGTGCACTTACAGAACAAAATAACAACTATAAATTTCTATGCCAGTAGATGGTTAAACCGTTGGAATGAAAATTAATAAATAAAATACAATAAGTCTCAAGTATCGTGCGTTTATTTTCATTTACGGACAATAAATTGCTTATTTTCACTTTCCATGGTTGATTAAGAATAATTCGCAATTTTAGCTTAGCATTAAATTTATAAATATTTTTACAGCAAATTCAAAATGCGTTAATTGAGTGCTTATTAGGGGAGGCAAAAATTCATTTTGGATCAACTTATAAATTATAAGGGAACGGTTTAATAGATTACTAAATTTTCGATGGAATAAATCTACATAATTAAACAAAATATATTTGTATCTTGTATAGATACCTGCAATTACACTAGTTTACTCACTCTGCTTAAGCATGTGAGAAAGTAATAAGATTGATACGTTTACATTTATATTTGAATGACAGATTTCATTCAAGTGACACGTGTACTGTTTCGATTTGTTCTGTTATCTAAACTACTTATGTAGTTTAAGTCTGTACAAATACACAAGGAAAAATTTTAAATTAGAATAAAATGTGTTAGCTGCATACCATAATAAAAGAAACTAAAAGAGTCTAAGAATATAATTGCACATCATAATATAAACAATCAAAAGTAATTCTTCATTGTCTTCTGTTATCGTGCACATTAATTAATACAGCTGCTTAATAGGGTTTATAAAAGGAACAAGAATTACAAATTTTTTCGTATTTGCATTATACTTCAAGTATGACGTTTAGACATTAATGTTAACTACAATATAAATGTATCAATTAACTTTACAATACCTTTATATGTTTTTTAATGTTTATATTCCAAAAATGAAACAAATACCATTTACCTGTTGTAATGAAATGCTTATTGAAAACAATCAAAATTATTGTACTAGTTTTATAACTGGCGCCTATCTGATATAAACATTTTCTTGTAATCGATAAATTAGGGCTTTTATTGTTTGTTTCATTCTGATGAGACTATTACAAACAAAGTACGTAAATTTGCGGTTGATTAACCACTGTTACGCATTCAGGACCGTATCAGTACATCTTTGTTTAGTTCTCTAAAAATTAATCATTGCTATGTATAAACAGATAAAAAATATTGGTGTACTGGTAACCGTTACTATTTGTTCATTTAGGGCTGGAAATGATCCTTAAAGTTAATTTACTATGCGCCTCTGATAATGATAATGACGATGATGACGATATTAATAATAACAATAACAACAACAATAATAACGAATATTATTATGCTGAACTCACTGTTGTGCTGTCAACGCAAATTACTTCAGATATAATTGGTTTTAAACGCAATATATAAGACTCGGTACATCCTATGTTTAAATAATTGTATAAAAAAGGATTACATTATCTTCTAGAGGTTACTTAGTTGATAATAACATATCTAATACAAAAACATAGTTGAAGTCCATCAAAATAACAGACTCATTCGGTCAGAGTTTTCTGATTGAATTCACTTGAAATAGCAATAAATAATCGGAACATTAATATTTCTGTTTCACTTTCATTTATGAATCTCTAATCTCTTGCCCTTTGTCATCATTTACAATGAAATATTATGCTGTTTTTTATCGCAATTGAGAAATTGAAATTGTTTTTACCAGAAGTGGCCCTTATGGATTCTTGCTTTCACACAGTGTTGTACATAACTTTACATACTATCACTTACAGTCTTATAACAAATAAATTTGTTTGTTCTACACTGATCGGGAACATATTACATGTTTATTTATTCATTTTGCGTTTCGTAATAATGTAATGCATATTATTTTATATCAGGTATTGCTAAATATAGAATTAAAAATATGCTATTAAGGCAGTCATAACACTTGTATTTATTTTTACGAATCGCACAATGAAATGTTTACTATAATATTAAACCCAATGTGTTTAACCTGTTGTACTGAATGATGCTAAGGATATTAAATAAGTAAATTAAATGTTGAATGTAATGTAAAATATGTTTCCAAAATCTTTGCCCTTTTCAAATAGCTTTAACTATATCGGCAGCACAAAATATTAAAAATGTCTTATTCTAGACAAATTTAGAGGTTTGCTTTAGTCTCTAATAGGTAATTCGTGTGTGTATATATAATTAATTGAAAAATTACATCAGCAGCTGTTATCATAAAATTCAGTTCAGTTTCTCACTATATCCTTCAGCGTCAATATTTCAGGGTGTATAATGATGAGGATATTTTAACATTTGTATTTCAGTTGCTAATATTTTTATAGTATTATAATATAAATTTGGTAGAGTGCGTCTTGTAGGGAATTTTTCAAATTTCTTAACTGTAATATTATTTGTAACTGTGAAGAAGTCTATTATAAAAGAGTATAACAGTTATTTAATATGTAGAGCTGCATATTTTGCTTTAAGTAAGATCATGTGTTGAATGAAATATTTTTTAATGATTATTTGTTATGCAAACATATGCAATACTATGCAACATAAAGATCAATACTTCCCGTTAAAAATTCCTTGTATCAATAAACACCCCGCATATGGATAAAACAAGATGCACTACAGTCTTACAATTATTAGATAAAATCACTACAGGTCTACATGGTCTGTGCGTGGTAATTTCCAGTTTCTGATGTAGCTTTATGTAACCATATAGACTAGAATTCTGAACTTAAACGCATAAATAAATAAAAATCCCAGAAACAAGTAATACTTCAGTAAATATTGAAAGATATGTATCATAGTACATATATCTGTAAGAAATTAATAATAATATTGAGAGATATGAATCTTCAAAAGTTTGGTACTTCTTTCTTTCTGTAGTGAATTACATTGTTGAGAATTTGTATAAAATAAGGATTTTTTTCTAATTTACAAATTTAACCTAACTGTAGACATCTGATGAAAATGTACCATATGACTATGTCCTTTTTGAATTATAACAGTATAGAAAATATAATCGACGACAAACTTATAGTTATAAGTGATTCAAAGATACCATGTCACTAATTCCTGTTGTAGATGACATGCATCAAGTTTTACTGAACAGTAAGTTTGTCTGTAACCATGTGTTACATAACCTTCGGTAGTTCAGTTTTTATCATAAATATGATTTGTAAACTACATGTTTTCTACATCAGTCTACTTATGGCTAGCAAAATTAATAAATTCAGTCCGTACCAAAGTATTTTTGTCCAAAGTGATTTGGTGCTATTTGATGAATCTCCGATGTCAAGATCTTCATCTAGAAGATTAATTTAATTTAATTAAGTTTATGAATACTTATAAATAAATAATATGCAGGATGTATTAAATTAAATTGGATTCTTAATATAACTTTGGAAGTAGAATGTATCACAATCAATTTCATAAGTGTAGTTGAGCTACATAGTTCATTCTCAATTCTTGATTTCATCAATAATGTACAGTATTTTTATAACCCGCATACTATCAATATATTTAAAAACTGTTTGGAACAGTACTACATTATTATAACATTTAGGCATATGAAAAGTGATTATGATAACAAACTTAATATATATATCCAATTGTTACTTGTAGTAAGTAAATCTCAACAAAAAACACCTTTAGTGTAAAAAAAAAATGAACTTGTCTTAGCTGCTACCATGCCTCTTGATAATTTAATTTACCTTCGGGAAGGCAGTGACAAGAGTTCTGGCAGCAAATGGCGTACAAAATAAATTAGAGAGAATAATATTCTCTTCAAGCACATTATGCTCCTTTAATACAGCAATTGCTTTTATCACAGTATTTCCGGTGCCTACAAATTTAAATTAAATAATATGACATTCTAGTATACAATCGTTACACTTCAATCTGGATAAAAATTGTTTGTTTACTCACTCATTATTGGATACATTAATAGAACTTTTCTTTCCGATATGTCATCAGGAAATTTTGCATAAACAACTTTAGCTTCATGTGTATCCACATCACTTTCTACAAGTATTTTACCTATGCGTATGCTACGACAGCAATCTCGTAAACCCTTAAATGAATTCAGTTAAAATGAATAATACAAGAATCTGTTTACAACCAGCCTTAGCTATTTAGTACCTGTTCCATAGCTTCTCCACTCCTCACAATAGATACTCCACAATTGCCTTTTTGATATTTTAAGCCTTTGTACTTGGCACCTGTTGGCGTAGTTACAATACATTCTGTAAATGGCAATTGGTTTAAACTTTCTTCTATAACCAGTCTAATCTGTAACAATAATAAAGATTCATAATACACTAAACGTGCATGTAAAAAGATACATGTGGCATTTAACTTGTTCAGTAAATTTTACAAGGTTATATATTTCCTAGTCTATTTACTTTAAAATCGTGGTAAATTTTATTAAAAACTTTCTTCTATAACCAGTCTAATCTGTAACAATAATAAAGATTCATAATACACTAAACGTGCATGTAAAAAGATACATGTGGCATTTAACTTGTTCAGTAAATTTTACAAGGTTATATATTTCCTAGTCTATTTACTTTAAAATCGTGGTAAATTTTATTAAAATAATTTATTATTAAAAATTGATATAGGTAATTATGTACTATTGTTTTTACATTGTGTACTGGATATCATAATTGAGGTATAGAATAAAGGCATATTATTAATAACATTTCTTAAAAGATTAATAAAATATAAATTAGATACTGTGAGAACACTCACCAAACGATCAGCATAAAACTTGAAATCATGTCTTGTAGTGTTCCTATAAACATTATGTCTCAATCAGGATTATATTAGTATTAACCACAGGATGGTAATAAAAGACTGATCTAATAATTCTTGGTTAAGAGTGTATGGCAAATATAGTTTACTTTTTGAGAAGCAAATTATACTCACTTGTCGCGTAGAATGGTTTGCAGCTCTTTAACTTGATCATTAGATGGCAATATTTTTAAGTTTTGACCGTACTCATCGTTATTATCAATATTATCAATTAAAAGCTTCTTAACGCTCGTTACTGCTTCTGCACTTCCCATATTGCTAAGTGAATCCTATTTCTTTAGCAGTGGTATGAATATTAACTGAATTATATGCAATTATATGCAAATCGCTAATAAATCAAATGTGACGAACGCGATTGTCCACTTCAAGAGGCGACAATTAATTGCACATAGATAAGTGCTTCAAAATTTATACGATATAATCGTTTAAACTCGTTGATCCCCATGAATCTTTACGATTCTACTTCCATGCCATGGTTCATTCTACAAGTTGTCTTGAAGATATATTTTTACTTGCTGCATTGCTGCACAATTCCATGCAGTAAAATGTTTCAATTGGCTGAAAATAGGTAGATAGCCATCATGCATAACAGAAGAATCTTGAGCCAATCAGTGCGCTTTCCTGCATTCAATTTTGCAACAACGCAGCAAGTGAAAAGGTAGCTTAATTTGCTTCGATTTGCCTGTCCGTAGATACCGGTTTAATTCTTTGCAGTCGTATTTTTCATAGGTTTTCGTTTCAGGCATATTAACCTTGTTAGAAACATCCCGGAGTTCGACTGCAAAGAGTTAGTTTACACAGAGAAGATTGGGACCAGAGATGAGTTGGGAGATTGCTCACGGGCAGGATCGTGCGATCGCATCCTGTGCTGCCATCTCGTTTCGTACGTTAGCTTTCACCGTTTTTCGCCCCCAAGGGCGGCGTAACGAATTTCTGATAGGGGCGATGGCGGTACCATCTACCAGTCGCCATTGGCGGCTCACGTACTCGTGATGGTAATACCATGCGGCAGTTGACAGTGGTGGCTTACCTACGCTTACCGACACTGTTCGCTTTTGATGGTAAGGGAAGAACACTCATGACGCTCCATTTGACTTTATCTACTTATCTACTACTATTAAGTACATTGTTGCCTCGAAGTCGACGTGATGTGGAGCTTTGGTGCACGCGTCGGTTTCGCGTACGGAACTCTCATGCAGCGAATCTGTGTGAGTGCGATCGCTCCTAGAAATCTTCGCGCGTCCCAACCAGCCAAGCGCCAAGCAACGGGTCGAGACATTGAGTATGTGTGCGTTCGGCGCTACACACGACGAGGATGCGTGAGAGTCGAATGCTGCAAAAAATCCTCCCGAGGTTTACCTAATGGCGGATATAAGCAGAGTCATTTCGCCTATGATTTTTACATTTCCCTACTAGCGTTATCGAGTGTTTTCAAGCGTTTTTAGAGCGTTTTTGAGCGTTATCTAGCATTATCTAGCATTATCGAGCGTTTTCGAACGTTATCGAGCATTTTTAGAGTGTTTTCGAGCGTTTTCAGAGTGTTTCAGAGCGTTATCGAAGGCCGTACAGTGCCGTTGAATGTTGTTAAGTGCTGTAGAGTGCCGGAGAGTTGCCGCAGAGTGCCGCAGAGTGCCGAAGAGTGTCGGAGAGTGCNAGAGTGCCGGGGAGTTGCTGGAGAGTGCCGGAGAGTGCCAGAGAGAGCCGTAGAGAGCCGTAGAATTGCCGGAGTGTGCCGGAGAGTTGCCGCAGAGTGCCTGAGAGTTGCCGCAGAGTGCCGGAGAGTGCTGCAGAGTTCCGCAGAAGGCCGCAGACTGCCGGAGAATGCCGGAGAGCGCCGGAGAGTTGCCGCAGAGTGCCGCAGAGTGTCGAGGGGTGCCGCAGAGTGCTGGAGAGTTGCCGAACAGTGCCGGAGAGTGCCGGAGAGTACAGCAGAGTGCCGGAGAGTGTCCGAGAGTTGCCGCAGAGGGCCGCGGAGTTGCTGCAGAGTGCCGGAGAGTGCCGGAGAGTGCCGGAGAGTGCCGCAGAGTGCCGGAGAGTTGCCGGAGTGTTGGCGGAGAGTCCCGGAGAATGACGGAGACTTGCCGGAGGGTGCCGGCGAGTGCCGGAGAGTGCCGCAGAGTTGCCGAACAGTGCCGTAGAGTGCCGGAGAGTACAGCAGAGTGCCGGAGAGTGCCCGAGAGTTGCCGCAGAGGACCGCGGAGTTGCTGCAGAGTGCCGGAGAGTGCCGGAGGGTGCCGCAGAGTGCCGCAGAGTGCCGGAGAGTTGCCGGAGTGTTGGCGGAGAGTCCCGGAGAATGACGGAGACTTGCCGGAGGGTGCCGCAGAGTGCCGGAAGGTGCCGCAGAGTTGCCGAAGAGTACCGCAGAGTCCCGGAGAATGCCGGAGAGTGTCGGAGAGTTGCCGTAGAGTGCCGCAGAGTGCCGGGGAGTTGCTGGAGAGTGCCGGAGAGTGCCGGAGTGAGCCGTAGAGAGCCGTAGAATTGCCGGAGTGTGCCGGAGAGTTGCCGCAGAGAGCCGGAGAGTGCCGGAGAGTTGCTGTAGAGTGCCGTAAAGTGCCCTAGCGTGCCCCAGCGTGCCCCAGCGTGCCCTAGAGTACCCTAGAATGCCGTACAGTTCCCTAGAGTTGCGTAGAGTGCCGTAGGGTGCCGTAGAATGCCGTACAGAGCATTATAATGCATTAGAGTGCTTTAGCACACTACTTAGAGTGCCTTGATTAGAACTCTAATTAGAGTGCCCTTGTTAGGTTATTTAAGGTTAGGTCAGGTAGGTCAGGTTAGGTTAAGTCAGGTAGCTCAGGTTAGGTTAGGTCAGGTAGGTCGAGTTCGGTTAGGTTAGGTGAGGTTAGGTCCGGTAGGTCAGGTTAGGTTAGGTCAGGTAGGGCAGGTATGTCAGGTTAGGAAAGGTCAGGTAGGTCAGGTTAGTTTAGGTGAGGTAGGTCAGGTTAGGTTAGGTCGGGTAGGTTAGGTTAGGTTAGGTAAGGTCAGGTCAGGTAGGTCAGGTTAGGTTACGTCAGGTAGGTCAGGTTAGGTGAGGTCAGGTAGGTCAGGTTAGGTTGGGTCAGGTAGGTCAGGTTAGGTTAGGTCAGGTAAGTCAGGTTAGGTTAGTTCAGGACAGATAGGTAAGGTTAGATCCGGTCAGGTTACGTTAGATAGATACTAACAACGGCCCTCTAACAAAGGTACTCTGATTACAGTGGTAATCAATGCACTCTAATTAGAGTACTACAGTATTCTAATGCACTCTAATGCATTATAATGCACCCTACGGCATTCTACGGCCCCCTACGGCACTCTACGCAACTCTAGGACACTCTAGGGCACTCTAGGGCACTCTACGGCTGTCCAGGGCACTCCACGGCATTCTACGGCACAGTACAGCAATCTATGGCACTCTACGGCACTCTATGGCACTCGCCGGTACGTCTCCAGCACTCTCCGGCACTCTGCGGCGTCTCTCCGGCACTCTGCGGCAACTGTCTAGCACTCTGCGGCACACTGCGGCACTCTTCGGCACTCTGCGGCAACTCTCCGGCATTCTGCCGCGTCTCTCCGGCACACTCCGGCACTCTCCAGCACTCTTGGGCACTCTGCGGCAACTCTTTAGCACTCTGCGGCACACTGAAGCAACTTTCCGGCACTCTCCGGCACTCTCCGGCAAATCAACGGCACTCTCTGGCACTCTCCGGCAACTCTCCGGCACTCTNTCTCCAGCACTCTCCGACACTCTTCGGCACTCTGCGGCACTCTGCGGCAACTCTCCGGCACTCTACAGCACTTAACAACATTCAACGGCACTGTACGGCCTTCGATAACGCTCTGAAACACTCTGAAAACGCTCGAAAACACTCTAAAAATGCTCGATAACGTTCGAAAACGCTCGATAATGCTAGATAATGCTAGATAACGCTCAAAAACGCTCTAAAAACGCTTGAAAACACTCGATAACGCTAGTAGGGAAATGTAAAAATCATAGGCGAAATGACTCTGCTTATATCCGCCATTAGGTAAACCTCGGGAGGATTTTTTGCAGCATTCGACTCTCACGCATCCTCGTCGTGTGTAGCGCCGAACGCACACATACTCAATGTCTCGACCCGTTGCTTGGCGCTTGGCTGGTTGGGACGCGCGAAGATTTCTAGGAGCGATCGCACTCACACAGATTCGCTGCATGAGAGTTCCGTACGCGACACCGACGCGTGCCCCAAAGCTCCGCATCACGTCGACTTCGAGGCAACAATGTACTTAATAGTAGTAGATAAGTAGATAAAGTCAAATGGAGCGTCATGAGTGTTCTTCCCTTACCATCAAAAGCGAACAGGGTCGGTAAGCGTAGGTAAGCCACCACTGTCAACTGCCGCATGGTATTACCATCACGAATACGTGAGCCGCCAATGGCGACTGGTAGATGGTACCGCCGTCTCGAATGCGCGAGCTCCTATCAGAAATTCGTTGCGCCGCTCTTGGGGGCAAAAAACGGTGAAAGCTAACGTACGAAACCAGAGGGCAGCACAAGATCGATCGCGCTATCCAGCTCGTGAGCAATCTCCCAACTCATCTCTGTATATAGACTCATCCGATGCCGTACTATAATCTACATTGACGTGTCATATGGCGAAGAAATGAAATGAGGGCAAAATAGAGAAACAAAATGAGGGCAATGTACTGTATGATCAGATTTTTCGTACGTCTGTCATGTTAAATCAAGTCTACCGCGAATGTTGCGAACGCGAAAGTGTTTAATATTCTCTACCACGCTGGAAACAATTTATGTCAATCCTCGTATGTGTTCTCTTGTACACATTGTCCGATTTGTTATATTGCCCCAAATATATGCACCATATCCTACAAAGATTTAATGTAGTGTATTACAATTGGAAAATACTGGAATTTTTTTATTTTCAAGTACTAGCTGATAGATTTTTATAAATGAATGTTAAGAATTTGGTATTATGCGACGTTCTCATATTAGGCTGTTAATAGAAATTGAATTATTTATTTAACAATGGAAGAACTGAAAAAATTCGCACTGAACATTACATCCTGAACTGGTAAAACATTTAATCAATATTGTTGTTTGTAGAGCTTCTATTCATTGTACAGAGGTGTCACAGCTATTGATTAAGTAGGTGCTGCCACCTACAACAGTATTATCCGAATATTTTACATCTTTTTGGCCAATATCACTATATAAAATAGAAAGGCTATTTGAACAGTTAGTAATTTAAGCAACAAGAACACCATAAACTACGGATATTCTTTATTTAATTTTATTAATAATACATTATAAATTTGTTCATATGACTGCAATAGAATGTTATTTTCACTTCTTTTGGAAATAAATGTTTTGCTTTCATGAAATATTTTTATTGTGATTATATTTCTACATCATCTTCCAATGACTTTACTTGCAATGTTAATTCCGCTATATCTTTCGTCCTGAAATGAAGAAACGGTTTACAAATATTAGTAATAATATAAAAGGATCTTGTTGATGTCTATTCTGGATGTACTAACATTTGCGAGAGGTGGCTTTTGACGGCATTGTCTTGGGTTTCACTCAAGACGATCTCTTTCTTCTTTTCCAATGTTTCATAATTTTCCAGGCGTTTTGCCTGTTGTGTCGCTTTCCTTTTAAGTTGTTCTAAACGTACGACAAGTTCTTTTACTTTCTGGTCCATTTTTTTCAATTCTGCAGCATCAGCCCGTTCAGAAACTGTCATAGTTGGTTTCTTATGGTTCATTAACCTGAGAACTTCTTCGGCCCTAAAATGTACAGTTATTAATATCTTCATTTTTCCTTAAAAGTAAAATGACGAGTTAATTTGTTCACCTTCGCGCCAAATACTCTTGATTATCTTTTATATCTTCATATCTTTCGGCTAGATGTTCAGCAGCTTGTTGAAGTTCTTTTCTAGTTTCCATCAGAATATCCAATTCCTTCATTTGATGATTTTTTAACGCCTTTAAAGTTCGAGCTTTCTTTCCGAGCTCTTCGCGTACTTTGTCATGCCGAACAAAGTGTTGTGTTCGAAAAATGTGAGTTGCACGGTAAAGCAGCTAAAATGTTCAACAAGATAGAAACACGAGCGACTTCCTTAGCCCAACATTTGTATTAGATAAAAATGTTCATTGTTGTTGACGTAGATCTTACCTCCAAATATTCTTGCACAGTTAGTTTCGACTGGAGGCTGAGTTTGGTAATGGGTTGAGTTATTTCGTGTTGGAGAAGATTTCGTATGTGGACATCGAATGGTTCTTTGTTGACCTTAAATTCACGAAGAAAGGTCTTTTAATTATGAATTTTCTCGGATTTCGTAACGTTAATAATACGTACTCGTTTGTTAGGACTGATTAGAGGTTCTGGAGAATCTATCTTTGGAAGATAATACAGGTCAACTATTGTCAAATCGATCACTACGCCTGTATGAAGAAGAGCTATTAGCATACAAGGCTCTTGAAACAAGCCTAATCCAAGGATGGGTGTAGCTTCGTCCTCTCTAGTATGTTTTGTTCGAGTACACACTAAATATTGAGAGCTTGAATGTTTGGAAAACGATGGCAGATATAGATCTGCATGTTCTGTAAGCGTTACGGTAAATTTATCTTCATCTGGTTTCCATATTAATTGACAATATTTACTTTTATATAGAATGTTAATTTTTGTGTATCACCTTCTCTTACAGCAATGTAATCATCGAGTTGCGACACAAGTGGTAAACTAACCACATGGATTCCCGCATTATGACTGCAGAAGTACCTGCGAAACAAAATACCTAATAATCAAGTTTCAACTTTCCCAATTTTTTTCCTCTTACCTCGATCTATTGCTTTTATCACTGTGAAGGTGTATCGAACAACTGTACTTCTTATCGTTATCTTTGAAAAACAACCCTAATTCCATTTCGACGCATTCGAATACGAAGAGAGCGTCATCGGGGGTATGTAAGCTGTACGTGGAACCTCTTTCCGACCAGGTCTAGATAATATTAAAAGGAACGGTATTAGAATAATTCCTTCCCCATGCAAGGCACGAAAAGGTTGTTAACTTCTTCTCCTACGTACCTTTTTGTCTTCATCCTCGAAAGCTTCACGAAGTAGAATAGCGTGATAGATTTTTCCCGAACAGGCTGCGATGACCACTAGAGGAGGTGTCGTTTGAATGCACAATATGGAGCACGAATCGATCCCATAATTGTCGTCCGCTGGAGGGTACATCGACAGGGAGCCTAGGACGATGGGTTTAGAGGGACTAAACAGGCGACGTAACGAATAGATTAAAAAAATAAAATTTCATTAGCAACGATAAGGTACGGTTATTTTTTGTCGTTTTCATCGCACTTACTTGCCGGTTAATACGTTGTGGACGATGAACACGTCCCCATTTTCACGAAGCACGAGTATTGGCCATTCAATTTGGTTCCAATTTATCTTCTCGGTCTAGAAAACAGATTAATATACGACAAATTAGATATCTGCAGTTTTTTTTTTCCAGATTTAACACGATTTAACCGAATAATGTCACCTCGACGTTTTTTTCTTCAACGTCGGGTCTTAAAGTCGGCGTAGCAAAGTCAAAATCCACAGCCGTGTCACCTAAAGATGCAAAGTTTGGAATCTTTGAGGGTGATCTCGATGGGGACGGTCCAACCTTCCAATTTTTCATCAGCCTAGGTTTTTCCCCGAGCTCACATTCGTACAAACTATGCACATAAAAGAGGGATTGATAAAGCATTATTAATAACAGCATTGCCAATAAAATATGCATAGATATCCATTATCGGCAGCATTCGTAAATGTTAAATTACGCCACTGCAAGTGGGTATAGTTCTTACTGAAACGAATTTTCCGACGTGAGGACTAAAAGATGAGAATCGTTGGTAGAGCCTGGGTGCCATCTTGCTCGTCTCACTTCTGCCGTCGAAAATTGCGTGCAATATCCATCCATATTATGGGTCCTAAAATATGAAAAGGTGCATTCGAATGTAACCGGTCTCCGAATTAAATAACAAGGGACTGATTGTATTCTTTAGGAAAGAATTGTACGTATTGTAGTCGGGCATATTGCTCAGGCGAAAGAGTACTTTGCTGGGCAACGGCAACGGTCGAATAATCGCTGCTACCGCGGAATTTTAAACAAAGTACTAATAATTATAAGCAACGACCCGCCGCTGGGGACAACGTATGCATACGGATTTTTTTTAATAATTATTATTTTCAGCTTACGTGTGCATATCGCGTCTAGGATGCGTGTACGAAGGGAGAATCAGTAGCATGGAAGGGGGAGGGTAGGGGTGCGAAATATGCTACCGAGTCGAGGTGAGTACTTTGCATACGGTAATCGAAATTTGTTTGTGGACAAACAAATCGGGAGGCTTCCTCTTCTTGGCGAATGGACCCGATATCGAACGATCGGCTGAATCGCCTAAACTTTGCGATCGACTTTGACTATCCACGAAATCAAGTTTCATTCCAAGTCATCTGTCCAAAATGACTTTTCCTCTCAGGGATCAAATCTGCGGTGCACCGATACCGCAACGCAATTCCGTTGGTAACGGTGACCGCGGAAGACCGTGCTTCTCGTACCGGAGAAAGGAAAAATCACGACAAGAGGTAGGTACCGCGTACAAGGACATTCATATCAATACATCCCCTGGCACATCCGCGTTCTTCACTCACATTTCATTTTATTACCGGCCAGCGATAACTCAAGGGTCTGCATACTTATTCGAGCACATTTATCTCTGTGGAAAAATACTGAACGTAACATAATACCTTTGCCTCCGGTTCGCAAAGATAGTCAGAGAGGAAGGGACCGGAGCGAAAGAGGGACGGCAACGGAAAACTAGAAGGCCGGTTCAGAGGGTTCGCCGGGCAGGAGTGGGCGCCTACATTTCGTATTTTTTATTATTACTCGTATTTTCGTGTCGCGGGGGCCGAGGGGGGTTGCGAGGTTTTACAGGAGGGTGGCCAGGGTCGGGGGTGGTTAGCTGGGTCGTTATTAATGTCCAGGGTGGCAGAGGCGGCGGTGCCGGTACTGCCGGCCGCCACCCGGGGCGCGGGCGAAGGGCAGCCCGCGAGTTCTTAATAATTGATAAAAATGTATGCACACGCGTACGCAGTCAAAAGCGGGCCCGCTCCGGTGGTCTCACGCGGCGACGGCGGCAGCGCCGGCTTGACAAAGGACCGGCCGCGATTTATTCGCACTTTTCACCGGCGTGGCCTGTGCGACGGGGAATTTTTCTTCGTTCTGTCACAATTTCGCGAATTATCAAAATTTATGCAGGTACCGCCGACGCGTCGGTCGCGCCCGCGGTGTCCCCAGGTCAGAGGACTCTTTCCGCGACCGCGGAACCTGATACTTGGGGAGCGGAAATGTCCAGTGGATTAATAAACCATTTTAAACCTATGGTTTATTGAAATTCGGGAAAGTATTCGAGTAAACAGAGCGATTTCGTCAAGTCGGTAGAATTGAGGACGATTTAACCCTTTCGATACAGCCATGTCTTTTGCCGGGACGCTTCCGCTGGACGGACTTTTGATTCGCGAATATAGTGCTACAGTACGGAGGCCACGACAAACGTTCGCCATAGTTGAAAAGTAAAAAAGTTCAAAAAGAGCAAAGTCAACAAATTTGACTAAAATTATGAATCTACGTAACAAATCCAACGAGTGACTATAGTCATCCGTAGAATACAATGAGTTAAGGAAATATAATTTTATATTTTTGTTGGAAGTTTCATTCAGACATGGTATACTATTTTGATAACATACTTGCAACAAATGTATGAAATGTGTTATTAATTTAGTACATAAGTGTATTAATTTTCCCACGCAATTTCACAAAATGTCAACGTGACATCATCAAATTATAAGTTTATTTAGAAATTTCTAATAAAGGTATACTGTTTCACTTTCAGGACTTTAAATATATAATCCCACTCCAACCATATGTACTAAAAGTGCATGAATTTTATGAATATTCCTAACAGCGTAGTATCGAAAGTAGAGTCAATGTGGAGTACTGCTTATCCATGCAGAACTTAGATAACGCAATCCTGGGAAATTTTACATTTTTCTAACGTCGAGTCCTAGAGGGCTGCACGAATAGAAGAAGCGACATCCTCGCAGGGTGTTCCCGTAAATTTGGGCGGTCGAATAATTTTCGCGAGAGGGCCACTCATAAATTGAACAAAGGCCGCGAACCTCCGTGGAGGCGCGGCCGCGCATCCCTTATGTTTCGGCGAGAGTCGCTCTCGTATTTGGAGTATGCCTGGGCGTCTCTCTTTCCCGGGTTCATTAGCATATGCGCCACCCCCGAACCACCCTCCGTTGCCCGGTCAGCCCAGATAGGAATTGCTGCCCGTAGGACGTGGCCCCGCAGCCGGCTTTGTAAGGTGAATTAAAGAAATTAGTAATCCGAATAAATATGTATAGTCGTGAAGGAGAGGACGGAGAGGTAATGGTTCTGCGGTAGCAGGGATACCGAGCAAAGAAGACGAGGGCTTCCAGCCGCGAGAAAACATAGAGGGAGAACAAGGACTGCGTGGCGCGTCCATTGACGCGGCGCCGCCATTTTGGATCCTTCGATATATCAGACGTTGCGGTTACCAGAGCGATTCTTTGGTTGACGTAGATTCCGCCATATTGGTTATTCGGATTACTAGGACTTCGTCACCTTATACTATTTCTACTAAGATAACGGGTTATTTAAATTTTACGGTTTGGTCCAGTTTAAACAAATGTCTACGCGATGGTTAAATGTACTTTCATGCCCTGCAATTGGAGAACGTGATTTAAAGGAATTTTAATATATCGAAGAATTAGACATGGGCACTACCTATACAGCTTGGGATATTTAATTAAAATATTTAGAATATTTATAGCGTAATCTCTTTTTGTTGATGAAAAATAAAATTTTCTCCGATTTATTTGTCTTCATTCGATCGTGGATCTCTGTTTTTGGAAATTTTTACGTGAGCTTTGTCACGGTTCGCACACTCCGCCGCGAGTGGGCGGAAAGCGGAGCTTCGTAGCTTTACGGGTGTATTTCGAAAAAAGGAAGGAAAAATAAACCAGCCGCAGCGGCTCAAATCTAATTAAGAAATTCTTACACGGTCGTGTCGCCCGCCGTGCTGTCCCCCCCCCCCCCCCCGCGGCGAGTCCGGGCAAGCAGTTTCTTTTCCTCTAGTACCATCGTCTACCGGCCAAGAAATTAAAAATAATTTTCCAGGACAAATATATTAACCCGGAATGGCGAGGCTGTCCACGTGGTGGTCGGTCGGTCTCAAAGGAACAGGAATATCGAGGGAAATGGAGAACAACAGGGAATGCATCTTTGCACCAGGCATTGGGGCCGTCAAAATGAAAAACGCGGTTCTTTTTAAATCTAGATAGAAGACACCGACTGACATAAATTATTGTTCTTTGAGTCCTGCTTTGCATAAGGTTGATATTGCTTCAACACCGATTCGTAATTATTTGGAGGCGCAGCATTTAAAAAAATTATAAAAGTCCTGATTTCTTTTGAAGAGTACCCCCCTTTCGTTCGGTCTCGCTCGAAGGATCCGAGTATCCGATAGGAGGGTAGGACAATGTAAAATCGCGTCCTCGCGACGAACGAGGTCCGTGGTCATCCTGGCGTGGAGAACGGGCGACGGCTCATTGCTACGGTGCCGGCGACTCGAGATAAACGACTCTCCTTCTCTCTCTTTCGCGGCAATAAATCCCCGCGAAAATACCTAACCGGCGGTCGTCGAGACCTCCCCTGTCCCGGCGGCCCCCTGGTTCCTTGGCGCGGCTAACCTAAAAATTCATTAGATTATAAATCCATTAATGCTTAACCGGGCGAATCGTTCCTCTCTCTTGCTCTCTCGGTTCCGCTTTCTCCCACCCGGCCGAGCATTTCCACTCCGATCGAGCTCTCTTACACGCTTTTTTAACCGAGCTCTCATTATCCCTGACTTATCGCCAGCCGAAGAAGTCCCTTGGATAAACCCCGCTACTTTTTCTCTCGCAGGATTCCAAACGACGACCCGACTCGGATTCTGAGTACTTCTTTCGGTTCCGGAAAAACATTCTTTTCCTATTTTTTAGGTTCTGCGAGAAAATTCCAGCAGGCATCGAGTTACTCGGCTCGTGGACGGTGCTCGTTAAGTTGGCGGACAAAACGTTACGAGACGCGGGATCCGAGGTAAAGAATTCGGAAAAAAATGAGGTATGGCAGGCTTGCAGACTTTGGAGAAGCGGAGATTAAAAGTAGGAAAATTTAGAAAAACCATCGAGTTTCGTCTGCGCTGCTCTCGATCTCACCACTCGTGGAAAATAGAAAGGGTTAACGTGTAAAAACGCGAGTAAGGGCCCGTTCACGTAACGCATTTTAGAAAACGCGTTAATTTATGGAATGCCACGGCTACATGGCCTTCATACGCAATATGATCATTTGAACTAAAGTCGAGGTTCCATAGAGTGCGACGCGTTAACGCGTTGGGGATAAAAAGTCAATCGGAAGTAAAGTTTGGCGTTAAGAACCAACGCGGAAGTAAAACACGGGGTTAAACGCAGTTCTAATTGGTTTTTCATCCTCTACACATTGACGCGCGGTGTTCTGTGACGCCCGACGAGCTCAGTGGGACTCCGGTCTAGGACGCGTCTCCGAACGCCCGATGAACAAGAGCCCTATAGGACACCGCTTGATAAAATCAAGTTAAGGACTTTCAAGGCCTTCATATATACCTCCTATGACACTAACTATAAGCATATCAATAAGAGCTGGTTAAACAAATTGCCGGAATAGGACGCCATATAAAATTTTCTGCAATTTAGTCGATTCTTAAGTTTATAGTTGCCGTTAACGTGAGATATGCGTGACAGGCCTTACCTCTCTACTTTCTCCTCACAAAATCGCTTTTTCCTTATTTTTCTCCCTCTTCTTGTTTATACCGAAGTCGAGCAAAAG